ATATTTTTCTACAATGATATTTCATTTACTCAATGAGAGAAAAGTTAAACACATGTGTTTTACCACGATATTGGAGCAAGTAAATGTACTTTTAACCTATAGATACTTCACACCTGATTTATCTCGATACCTCCAAATCTGATTTTTTTCAAATCAACACTTTTCAGCTTTTTTCGATCTCATTACTCTAATGTTAAAAAACCTTACTTGATCGTCATTAAACATTCAGTCAAAATGATGTCATACTATCTAGTATTTGAAATGTACATGTAAAAGTACATCAAGAAATATTGCTTCAAATATTGTTGATCAATTTTGAAAAAAATTTGTTTTGGAAAATGTAAATGCTACTACGGGGAGATTCAACATATAAAGTCACAAAAAGTGAAATATGTTTTCTTGTATTGGACAGATACATTATTTTAATTTGCATAACTATGTCATGCTGTGTGGCCTGAATGAGCCACCTGGTGGTGAAACTGGTAACTACCTACTCGCATCTGAGTTATTACAATGGGAAATCACTGACTTTCTGGGAGAGAAAACTTTGGCACAATATATATTTAAACATGTTAAGAAAAATATCTAATTATTCAGTATCACATGCTTGCGTTTGTCCAAAGTTGTTGAAAGCTTTAGCATTTTAGCCAGAAATTTACCATAATTCTGAAAATAAAACAGGAAAAAAAGTAGGAAACTTAATCATGTTTATCGCAAGCCTCCTACAGTATTACAATATTTTGTACTTATATATAGGATAACCGGGGTTCGTTTCGTTTTATGAACTTGTTTCGTTCAGTGTTGCTAACGGCGGTTTATTCCTGAAAGGATTTGCCATTTCGATGTTACCGGAACCAGAACAGAGTTTTCTAAACTAAGAAAAAGCCTTCTCCCAACATTTTCATAATTATACATCGATGAGGTTACAGGGGGGTATGTGATGATTTGTATTTATTCATAAGGTATGTATGCATGTGTTGATCACATTATTTCTGTAACGATACCATCTTATTACGGTTTAATTTGTTCCGCATGTCGAAACCTGCTGAACGATTAAATGATCGCAACAAGGGCAAAATGATCATGGAAGTTAGACCTAGCCGGGGCCATAAGACATGTCAGATAAGAAACGAGGCCCAGGCTAGGTCTAATGTTGTTGGACTACGAGTTGCTGTGCCCACCCCTCCCCCCAAAAAATTGTTGTTAGTTTCTTGATGATCCGGCAATGCAAAGGGGTTAAAAAGTAACCTGTTTGACTGACAACACAGCTCCATATTGTGAATGTGATACCAGGCTATCACTTGTGCAAACATAGAGTAAGAGACAGCTGTGTTCAGTAAAATCAGTGTCAGTCAACAATTTACAGGATTTTGTAGCATTCTGAGATAATTGAAGAATATATTTACCAATCTTTGCGCAAGTAGAGTATTCGTACATTAGAGTATATCCAAGCGTCGTCTTTATGTTGTAGTTGTCGTCGTTCTTTGTTAAAAAGTGTTTTATGTGGAGGATCGAATGTCTGAGCAAACAAATCTCCCTCTTCATTAACATTCGGTGCGCATGCGCAGAAAAATTGCAGGAAGTCACGTGTCAAAATATAAGCACGTGGATGGTTACAGGGTGTCCGGAAAGTTTTGTCCGGGGACGAAACATAGATGTTGTTCAAATCCCGATGTTCAAACACTTGTGTCACGTTTTATTTTATAAAATACTCAGAATATTTGAAGATGGCAGGGTATTAGAAAGTTCCATTAAACTTGATTCATCAGTTTTCCTAGCATATGACTAACATGGACACATTTTTAAGATGTTAGATATTTTATTGTGCAAATGGTGAACACTACTTTTTAGTCAACACAGTTCATGTATGATAATAACAGATCATGTGTATGTATAATAATAATCATAAAAAGTGCATTTACAAAACAATCATGCTCATTGCCAAACACCCAAGTGTATTGGCATACCTTTGCTTAAAAATTATACTTTTTGAAAACTTGCACTTTGCCTTAATTTGGGTCAAAATTAGCATTTCTAAAATCAAATTTGCAAAACTTTCAAGTTCAAAAGACAAATTGGAAGCCTGTTGCTTTAAATATTAGAGCCTCTCTGAAATTGAAAGTCCCTCCTGATAGAAGTTGGTACAGGCCTGATAATACCTTTGGACATTGACATGCCACTTCAACTAGTTGATGTATCTAATATAGTTTTTGTAAATTTATTGCCCTAAGTAAATAAGGAGATACATAGTATTTATTTTCAATTATAACAATTATAATATATTCAACATATAAACAGAAAACCTATCTACAAGGTGTTTGTTTATATAATGTAATCTTGTTCAATAGTCAAACTACATACTAGTTGAATTTTGTATATATTTGCAATATCGAATTTCCAAGAAAAATAAATATAGAGATTGATTTTTTTAAATTAACCTATCATACAGGAAATATTAGTGGTTGAACATTAGTATTGGAGGAAAGAATGTACAAGTTTTTTCCAGATGTACGTAAAATATTTCTTACTCATTCTGTTACAGTAATAAGCACATTTTGGTTGAAATAAATAATAAAATAATAATCTCGACTAATTATCTAGTTTAATACACAAGACAATTAGTAAGGAATTGCAATTAGTAAGAAATACCCCAAATAGTTTATAATAGAAACAAGGTATGAACATCACAAATTACTATTCACTGTCATATTCCTCACTCTGTGATTGGTCTACGTCCTACATTTTCCATGGCCAATATCATATTTTCCCTCGGAATAAAATTCATATTCAATCCCTCCCATGAAATAACCTCTATATATTCCCAAGTTGTGAGTTTATCCAGTGTAATCTAAACCATATACCATTGGCTGGCATTTTGTCCAGTGTATTTTTATATATAAATGCATGGTAATAACCATTCAGATGACACTGTAATTAAACAGGTAAAGGCAGCAAAAACATCACTGAAAATCTTGAGTGAGGAATATTAACAGTGAATAAATAAAAAAAGAAATAGCCTACCAGATAGAGTACTTTTCTATTTTCTGTGAATACCTGTGCATCTTTCACAAGCAATATTCCCAAAAACCTCAGTAGGACCTGAGACTAACATAAAATGAAATATTTGTATAAACTCACTATCTGTTTACATTTACAAAAGTAAAACTTCTATTAACATCTCATAATTTTCAAGTCCATGGTAAAAGATGTACAGTATATTGGTCTATTTAATGCAGTTGCAGCAGAACATTTTTAGCACATTGCCTCGCATAGCCTTTTACATTATTTTATTTTATATACACATTTTAAGCTAGAAAATTCCCATAAAGTAGATTTAAAGTCTCAAAAAATCTTTAAAAGTCTCATTCCCTTCTCCGCTGATACATTTTTGGTGACAAGAGCCATTTGTTTCTCTGCGTCATCGTGTGGTCCATGATTGTCGTAGGCGTTCAACTTAAACCACCACTATATACAATTTGTATGTAAAGATGGATCAATAAATAAAGGATTTTTACGAGGGGTGATTCAAAAGTAATGGACAAAATTTTATAGGCACGCTGACCTTTACCAGATTTGAATGAAACTTTGTACAAATAAAGATTAATCAATTATCTATTATATGTTAAAATTTCATTAACTAAATGCAAATACATTTTGAGATAGAGCACTTCTCTTGGATCATGGTGCATACACCCGGAATCCATTTTTAAGGCTATTTTCATCATAATAACAAATGGATTTTCAATGAAAAGTTTGCTGGTGCAATATATTTTGCAATGCAAGATGTATATGAAAAGCATATTGCAGTAAGTTCAATAATAATCCATATCATTCCTTAATATTCCTGATGCACATCTATTTGAATTATATTCAATCCTCAATGTATTCTCCTCCAAGTTCAATTACTTTCTTCTGTCGGCGCACCCATGCAGAGAACACATGCCCAAATCCATCAGCAGCCATGGTGTTCATCTGTTTTTGTACAGCCATTTGCAGCTCAGCTAATGTCTGAAAGGATTGTCCCTTTAATGCCATCTTAAGGGTGGGAAAAAGATAGAAATCACAAGGAGCAGTAGCAGGGCTATATGGAGCATGTGGAAGTTGAGGCATGTCCATGAATGCTGCAAGAGAATCCTGAACTAGCTTGGACCTGTGTGCTGGGGCATTGTCCATGTGTAACAAACGATTGTCTCTTGTGTCTTTCCTTTTCACTGTGACTCATCATTCTTAGAAATATCATTGTGATGTCATAGCACAATTGGTTGCTGAATTAAGAACTCAACAGCAAACACATGGGCATGTGAGTCTTGCTTGACAATTGCATTACCATGCTTGTTAGACATATCATGTGTGGTAATTGAGTCATTAAAACAAAATCGAGCAAAATGACAAAAATATTCAATTATCATTAAAAAACCAATTCCACCCATGCTCACCCTTGTTACCATGGTTATGTATAGCTGAAACAATTTCAAATGCATTTAAATGAGAATTCGACACAAAGTAGAGAATTGATTGATCTATTCACTGTGAAAAAATTAGACTGATTGGGTGAAATTTAGTATGCCTATAAAATTTTGTCCATTACTTTTGAATCACCCCTCGTATGTAAGTTCTTAAAGGGTTCATATTTGGGATAAAACTCAATTTTCTATTCAGTATAATAGACTTTGACATCACATGCTAAAAAAGAATTCTGCTGCAACTGCATAAGCTTATTAGGCATAAACGTTAGCATCAAACCAGCCTTCACAATATATTTTTAGAAGGGTTTTCTATGGAAGATCATTTCAACGACATCATACTAATCTATTAGTGCTTAAATTACATGGTATTAGTAATAAATAATAATAATTATAAAATCTGACTGTTTCGCTGATTTTAATGCCTCCTGTTTTTTAACTACAATTTTCAGATTATATTTAAAGGGAGAATATACCATGGAGTAATGGGATAATTTCCTAAACTGGTGACTATCAAAGAGGCAGCATGTTCCTTTTAACAAGATTCACACTAACTAATCTTACTCAAAAGAATTTTTATGACTAATTCTCCCTTTAAATCTAATAAAAGTTGCCACACCCTCATATAGATTACATATGTTTAAAATTCTGACTGCTACAGTAATTTTTAATCTATTACAAAAATAATTTACAATGGAGGTTTATAAGCATAATGACTCTAAACTGACTTCATAATTGCTCGACCAACCATAAAATAAATCTCAAGCTGACAAGAGCCTAGTGTGCAAAAGAATCATGGGCTATGAAAAGCTCCTCAGTGTCTTGTATAGAGCTACAGCTGACCATGCTCCAAAGCTTCACAATTGTAGTAGTTTGTGCCATTTAACTGAAATATAAATAAAAACAAGGCATTAATATGCAAAATGCCACCACCTGCCATTTGTTATAGACACCAAATGCCGACCACCAAACACCTATTTAATGCTGAAACCATCCACAAAAAAGTTATGGTGTTGACAGGTGGTGGATAATAAAATTGTGACAGAGTTGTGTCAAAACGAATGGTAGTGTTATATTCACATTCATGAAACAGTTAAACTATTCAGATATTATTAATTAAATGTATTAAGAATACTCATGTAAAATACAATATGCCATTTGTTTGAGGGGCAATACATACCTGTATGTCATGATCAAGTACAAAGGCAGGGATATCTAGCTGATCGGGTCTGATCTTTGTATAAAGGTACTCCACCCCTGGAAGACTGTGTACCTTGTTTCTTATACCAGATATACTGAATGTAGTCACAAACCAACTCATCAGCTGCAATGAAAAAAAAAGAATGGATTCATTGAGATAAACATTAAAAGCTTTGATTACCCTGGAACAAGGTAAGAACAATTTCTGGTTTTGAATACTAGGTATTTTAAGGAATTATATATGCACCAAATAGATTCAGAGAGTTTCACTTTGATCTCTACATATTTCTCCAAATTGAATGTACTTATTATATGATACAAACATGATTCAAAAATGAATTATAAATAATACCCTTGTTAAAGAAGAGGCCCCACCTTCTGTACCTTTATCTGCTACATTCTCTTAAGCAACTTTTCTCACTGTGTTAGAAATCTCATACTTACCCTAGTCCAGACAGTTGGATGCACAACATAGAGAGCTCTCAGGTTATCCCGATACTTATCGTCCACCAGATAGTAAACTTCCTTCAGGAAGCCCATATGTGGCTGGTTGTCTCTGCTTGTAAGAGTGTGTAGGTAGACCATCACGTAGGGCTGAGACACTAGTGGCTCCATCAAGTTGATGAAATATAACAACGCCTGGAAAATAACATTGAATACAGTCAAAGCCTAAAACTGCTCTGGACTTTTGAAAAGAGATGATGTTCAATTCTGTGCATTAAAAAATAAATACAACAATATAACAATTAGGCAGGCATTCATACTGCAGATCTGGGGTATGGTAGGTCTATGTGTGATATTAATATGTAGTTGTTAATACTGTGCTCACCTTGACAAGGTCAACTTTATCGGAAGCAAAATTCCTGCCAACAAATATAACGACAGGCCTTCCCATCCTGTCAACCCCACTGTGGTAGAAACACCGCAGTGCGGCAATCTCTGATAGATCTTCAGTTTTTGCTCTCTTAAGCCATCTTTCATATCTAGAACAAAACAATCACATTTTGACTTGTATTAAATCTTTAGGCGTAAGAGTTCACGCCTGTAACAAGAAATGGCCAGTAAATTCTTCCAAAATCATGCAGTTTTCATTCATTCATTCAAGTGATTTTGAACCAACATTGCCAAATGTGACCCCCATCCCCCTAGGAACTTTTTGTAAAGTTAATCCCCCTTGGCAAAAACCTGGCTATGAGCCTAGAGTTGAAGATTTGTTTCTCAAAATGGAGCAAGTAATGCTTTAATAATACCAAGAAAATCTCACAATTCATTTCTTGGACTCATGTCTCATTTCATCATGTTTGATGGTTTGTTTAATTAGACATTCTTGCCTTTGAAACTTTCAAGACAAATTATCTTGTATTCTGTCATTCATAGCCATTACACGTATACACATATATTCATAATCATGTACTTTGTATCTTAAGTCAAACACATAGTTAAACCTCTTTGGTCTATATACAGCCTAACAAACAATCTTGGCAGTGCAAGCCTCTTTTTCTTCTGTCTTTTAAGTCTAACATACAATCTCACCTCCTTTGCCTTTTAAGTCTAGCATACTATCTTACCTCCTTTGTCTCTCAAGTTTTAACATTTCCTCTGTACTTCTACCCTGAAGTTTTGCCTTCTTATCAGTATCTGGATTCTTCTCCATCTTGGAAAATGCATGGTTTCCAATAGCAACGGAAAGTTCAAATTCATCCTCCAGATTGATACTGTCTTCCAACTCCCCAGAATCTGGATCCTTGGCCCCTGGAAGAAATTTCAGGGAGGAAGTGATTAGTAAATTAGTTCAGTTCATTGAACATGACCATATTTTTTATTATCTTTTTTATTTTTCTTATAGTTATAATTTATTTCATGATGGAACACATTGGAACATAAAAAAAACACTTGGGTTTGTTTTTCATGAAGTTGTTTATTTTGTAAAATATTTCATAGAAACAAGAAAGGAAATTGATTTGGAAGTAAGTACAGTAAATTAACAATGGTTGGAGTAATTAATCCTGGAGTTAAAGCAACACTACAGTATGTAGATGTACATTATACAATACATATAAACTGTTCTAATGTACTAGATACTGCATAATGCTTACATGTATTACATGTGATATATTGTCAATTGCTACAAATGGTACTGCGAGTGCTGCTCAGGGCATACAAAAGAAAATACAAGGCATTAACACACAAAATGTCACCACCTGCTACTTGTTACAAATGCTGACTGAAAAACACTGTCCACGAATAAATTGGAGACTATAACAATATGTCATCACTTGTTGTGGTGACATAATAAAATGACATACAATAAGCTATAGTATACATGTTTGTTGGAAGACATCCACTTCAGTTTTTTTCAATAATCAAAGAATACTCACTCATTGGTTTATCCAAAATGCGTATTTTTCTTTCTTCAATGACTGGTTCTCCCAACTCATTGCCAATCTCTGGAGGGAGGTGGTAAGCCATGTAATTCTCCTCATTCACTGTACGTGGGAAATAAAGGGGCAACACACTTTTATACACCATCTAGAAATGAACAAGATTTTTAGAACTCGTAGTTATTATGTATGGTATGTTGACTTTGTAAACAATTAGACACAGGGTGAACAATATTGCATCCTTGAATGGAACATCAAGAAGGATTTTAATATATGAAGGCAAGATGAAGGCAAGGTGATCTGAGGTCTTATTCACAAAGCCCTGCAAATTCAGTGATTCCTTTTGCTATGTGATTTAGCTGTAACATTTTTCAGGGTTTTCACAATGATACAAAACAACTATCACTTATACATGTACCATGTCTGTATCATATTCAATCTCTACACTAGATCATGATATAATGGCTTTTATGAGATGTATCTTTTATAATAAAGTTCCACCTGGAAAATTTGGATGGCAATGAAACAATTCAGATGTTTGACAGAGAGGAAATTGTATGAATGTGATCTCTTACTTCATCTATTTCTGTAGCACAGAAGACAACTGTATCAATCGTATCTCCATACTTCTCCAGAAACCTTCGGACAGTGCCTAAAATTTAATCAATCAATCGATGACCAAAAAATTATTACTACTAATAAATCCCATAATAAATCCCATAATTTTGAATGTAAATACTAAATTATAGGTCTACATTTTCTCAATTTTTAACCAGATAATCAACTGACCTCTAAGACATCTACATTAATCATAAAAGACAATTCATGAATTAGTCATGATTGAAAAATTTATCTAAAAAATTGTTAACCAAAAATTGCTTCATACAGAAACCGTTGTTTATTTCTTATCTATTGAATGTTTCTGAAAATAAATAGAAATTTGAAATTATACATACGTATGGCTATATGTGCGCCTTCTTCAGGAGGGTAGCCTCTTCGCATTGAGTTGATACAGCAGAGCCCAATAGATGTTATAGCTGTCTCTCTGGAAAACATATGCAAGTTTATCATTATGATCAATAATATATTTTACTTAAATTGGTTGACTCCAATAAATGATCAGCCTAAGAAGGTTATCTAGAGCATCTAAAAGAATATATTCTTGAAAATCATGAGCAGAGGAGTCTTACCATCTTTTGATTATGTTTATGGTAGCTAAACCCCTTCTCCTTACACTCTATATTCACAATTCTGAAAGGCCCCAGAGCCCTTGTATTATAAATGTATTCTATCTTTGGATTCAATTTATCAAAAATTATGTTAATTTTTAATCTACTCACTTGACGACTTGCATGACATTTCTGTAAGAGTTATAGAGGGCGCTCTCTGCAGCTGTCCTATATTTGATGTTGTACCGAGGACCTACTGTGTGTATGATGTAACGACATGGGAGATTATAACCCTTGGTCAATTTAGCTTCTCCAGTTCGACAAGCTGGAAAACATGAAAAAACACTTTCAAGTCAGTGATATTGCGCACTAGTAAAAAATAAAATTATATCACTCAAGAATTGCAAAAAATATAAGTTTAAAAAATAATCTTAGCAAATACATTTCCTGTAATTCACCAAGTCTGCCATTTGATTATGATATTTATCATATGACCCATGCAATACTATGATGCTGTATTGTGTATCACTTTATTGATAAATTATGGCATGAAGAATGGGCTTTGTATAAAAAACCTCCTACCTCATACCCACCTACCCACCTACGTGGAACATGATACAGTCATTGAAGGGTTCAATTTTAAAGATTATTAAATCTCAAAATAGCTCAAATGATTAACATTTCTACAACTCCGGCTTTATTTTATGACTAGACAGATGACAGATCCATAAATCGTCGCATGAGAATAACTTTGTACTATCTCACATTTTTACGGAACTGAGAAATCAAGGTTTGAAAGTTTAGAGGTCTGTATCTTACTTAGTATTGGTATGTGAAACTTGATTTTTTGTATGTCACCAGGTCTCACCCTAGAGATATCTTATATGAAATATCATACCTTGAAACAATTTACAAGATCCTTTTTTAAAACTATGGAAATGGAGTTGATACAATTTCCCACCGGAATAACAGCTTATTTCTAATTTCAAATTGTCATATCTGATATCAACTGTTTCAACCAATCAACTCTCTAAGAATTGGTCATGTGACTTGCAAAACTTGGAGTTATAACAATCTTATATTAAAACAAAGTATGCCAATATGCATGTTATTGTATCTAGAATGAAAAATAATGTTTTGCTTTGTAAAAAAATCTTCAAAAACCAAAGAATATTATTTAATAGAATAAAGAAAATTCAATTTATAAAACTTTAAAACAATTTCTCAAATAAGTACAATTATTTCTTAATTTTGGAATCTCAGGACACCCTTCAAAAAGAATTTATTGCCTTTGAAACTAAGGCAGAAGTACAATGCATTGAAACCAATGATGCCAATACGGTCCCCCACATATTTCCCTCGGTATAAACCCTGTAGCCTAAACCTCCCAGCACATTACAATGTAGCCCCTAAGGGCCAGTCCGCTGGTCATAGGTTATTTTTGAAACAGACAAGTTGATTTTTTCACTGGGTATAGGAGAATAACATTGCAACTGGTCCGTAATTCCATTTTGACCAGCAGGTTTCAGATCCGTAGGGCCTAAGACACAACCAATTTTTATTACATGCACATAGAAGAAATTTGAAAATAGAAAAATAATTTCTAATTCATTTTAGATTAATGAAAGTGATGAAACCTCGATTTCGGTAATCACATTTTGTTCATTGGGATGCAGCTATCATTATCCATTCATTTTCTGTTGTTTGCTACTCTGTGGAGTACAATTGGGAATTGAAGCAATTGTAGAAGTGGAGACTAAGAGTGGCTCTTTGTAAAGAAATTGAACCAATTTGCTACTTTTCCAAAATAAAATGTAGATGATCTAGAAACAAAGATCCCAAAAATGCAAAAGAAATGACAAATCTGAAAAACATACTAGTAATAAAATAACTAATAAAAAAATGCAAAATATGACAGTTACTATTTGTTTTGATTACTATATCTAGTATATAGCCTATTATTATGTACTTTATTTGAAGAAACAAATAAGTAGTCTTTCATTTTCAACATTTAATGATGACAGCTTCGTATATGCATTTCTATTGCATTTGGCCATTCAAACCTCTATAAGACCTGGTAGCAGGGGAGATAAAGGGTACTTTTGACTGCTCACATGATCTAATTAACTGGTCATTTGTACTTTTCATCTTCCCTGGTAGCAAGGATTTAGGTTTTCGAGGAAATTAGTAATTTTATTTCATATCATGTGGCCATGAATAATCCAATGAACATCCATAATACAAAGAGTAATTGAGGGCATATAATTTGAATATGCATGGGATTACACATACTGTATCATTTTATTTTTTTGATCTACTTGTAATAGTTCTAAAACTAAAACATGAAAGGCCAGGCATGCAAACTGGCATGGTATTGTGTTACAAAACATTATTTCATTCTAGATACAATAACATGCATATTGGCATACTTCGTTTTAATATAAGATTGTTAGAACTCCAAGTTTTGCAAGTCACATGACCAATTCTTAGAGAGTTGATTGGTTGAAACAGTTGATATCAGATATGACAATTTGAAATTAGAAATAAGCTGTTTGTCTGGAGATGGTACAATTTCACACTGAATTCTAGCTTAATGAGAGGGAATTGAGATGGGGCATGTATCTGAGATAAAAGCCTGTGTTTCAAATAGTAAAATTCCATGTCTATCTCAATTTTTTTGAAAATGGCAGTTAGTACAAAGTTATTCTCACGCGACGAAATAAAAGCATATGGGTGCATTTTAATATGTAATGACCCGAGGGCTCCCCAAGGGAATAAATAACTAACGACTGCAAGCATAGGTCCAACAAGCCAGATAAAGAAATTGAAAGAAAGTGTGCTAAATTCGATGCCCCGAGTGGGATTCGAACCCAGGTGGGATGTAATAATAACAACTTGCTTTCAAGGGTCGTTACAAATGCATTTATAATTCATCATAAACTAAGATTTAATAAACTAAGACCTTTAAAATTAAACCCTTCAAATACTGTATCATGTCCCACGTACGTGGGTAGATGGGTATGAGATAAGAGGTTTTTTATACAAAGCCTGAAGAATGTTTGAATATCACATTATAAAAATTGCATTACTCATGCAAATGCCATAATAATATTCTCCATCATGGAACTCATGAAACATTAATTTAATATTGAATAAATATCATTTTATGATAAATTCATGAATATGACAGCTTTTCATAATCCATGAAACAGATTACAGAAACCTGATTGCTCCCCTTCTACATGTAGCTCTTTGTCTCAACCATGAACTTGAACTTTTTGCATTTGATTTTGTGACCACTTATCAATATCAGAAGAGTTCATTGCCCTCAACACAAATCACATGTCAATTTTAAAAAAGCTATTAACAGATAAGATATATTATGATACAATACTTGAATACACTCCAAAGGCCCGCCAAGAGGGGGTTCACTTTTTGAAAAAATCACTTTTGACAATTTTGGTCCAAAAATGGCCAAAATCACTTAAAAAGCTCAGAATAGTGAAAACCTGGCCGGAGGGGGGAACCCATCAAACCCTCCCCCCTGGCTACGGGTCTGCCCCATTTGACACTTGTACAGATGTTTTCCGTTCCGTTCATGAAGTAAGAGACATGCATGGAAAGTAAGCCAAGGATATCTCAAACTCCAAAAGTCATTGATCAAAAATCAATGTTCTGTGACAGATCGTGATTCAAATATTCGAAGGATATCGTTCTGTCTATCAATAGATCAAGATTAGAAATTATTTTTATACAACAAACTAGAAAGTGAAGAAATCAAATTCTTTTGTTAAATTTCATTTTCCACTTCCAAATTTTTGAGATTGCTTTTTGATTTGGAAAAGCATTGTAGAAAAACAACAAGAGTTTAGATTGTTTAAGAAATTCGAATTTGCAAATCCATTTACTTAGAACAATGTAGAAGGCATTACAATTAGATTAAAACTCACATTTAATGTTTGTGCGAATTTCCTTTTGAAGTCCAGATCCTGCAAATCTAAAGATTCTCTCACTCAGTATATTCTTGTCATTCAGACCCTCATTAGTTGAGTTCACAATAGCTTCTGTGTTCAGCCTTGCCAAGTCTCCTGACCTATAAAAGTCAAACTAGATTGGTATTGTTTTCGAGAGCTAGGTCATAGGCTTTCAGAGAAATTTGTGGCTAGGTGTACATGATGCTGTACCTGCATTCAATGTTTTGTAGTGAGATGTACTCATCAGAGCAACAACAAGGCACCTTCCTTATACAAGGATACTGTAATATTCTGATTATATCAAGAGGGTTTAACATGTGTCAAAGCTGAGACTTAGTATGTTCCCCTACCACTAGATGCAACACAGATCCTTTCCAGACCAGATTTGTATTTTTTTCAACTTTATTTCCATAAATCAAACAACAATAATAGTACATATGGGTGGCTTTGTTGAATAACATTATAAGCCACTTTGGCATTTATAAAAATAAGAATTCTACTAGGGCTATAAATGATCTGATAAAAGTACTATAGTACAACATGTAGGTGTATGTGTGTATGTAAGAAATGGCTGCATTCTACAAGTCAGCTACATGAAGTCCTGTAGCTCAGTGATAGAGCCCCGCAGAAGTGAGAGGTAATTGGTTCAATCACATCCAACCTCACAGGATATGTTTCTATGTTTTTATAAACCTTTCAGGAAAAAAGTAAGGATATACACATAACACACAAATCTTCATACTTACATAAAATGCTTTCCAATTAGATTTACAAGTATATTGTTATCTAACCAGGGGCGTAGCTAACTTTCAGTGAGGGGGGTGCGATCGTAAAAAAAATCAGATTTTTAGTCACCCTCGCACCCCCTCCTGGCTATGCCTATGCTTACCTTACCTATGTCAAAGGCTGCCGACTGATTCTGATATTCAGCTTTTACACGCATATAATATGTGCTAAATTCAATGCCCCGTACGGGAATCAAACCCAGGACCTTCCGCTCTCGAGTCAGACGCTCTACCCCTGAGCCATAAGGGCTAGCCACTACAGCTGAGACTGTAGTAGCGACTTGGTATCGAAGGTCATTACACTAACTTCAGGTGCCTCTGTACATATAATCAGTAATTTTTCCGGTGAAACTATGGAAGGTTTCAGGTGCCTCTTTGCAGATGATTTCAGGCCCTGGTGCCTCTTTGCAGATGGTTTCAGAAACCTTCCATAGTTTCAACGGAAAGGCCATTGATGTTAGGAACATTTGGAGATAGAAAGTAAGCCGCTGAATTCAGTTTTTCAGATTTAGATGTCACGAATACTAGACGGATGATATTTGGGGACCTAAGGCTGAATATTAGAATCTGCCAGCAGCCTTTGACATAGGTAAACCTGTAGACTATATCCTATTTAGTCTAAATTATATTCAGACTATAAGGCACCTATGTTAAAGTTTGGTAATATGAATTATTTGTTTACATAGGAAGTGCTATTCAAAATGGCCGGTTGGTAAAATTAATTTGCACATTTGTTACTTCAACTAGCTTTATTTCCACTTTACAATATGCTGTGTTACTTTTTATTGCATTTAATTGTACCTTACTATTTTATTGAAATTTTGTAATGTTTATATTATTGAAGAAATGGTTCCTCTAATTGATAATTTTGTGCAAAAAAATTCACTGCAATTTCCACAGGAAAGTAGTACATCATAACAGACTGACTTCTAGTCAGTCTGTTGGATACATACTAGGTAAACCTGTAACCCACATCTGATATTTCAAAAAACTTACCATAAAATTATTTTTCTGTTCAGTTCATTATTTAATTTGAAATCACTCTCCCTCTGGCCCTCTGGGCTGTCAATCTGAATATCATAGTCTTCAACTTCTGTTGAATCCCAGCGAGTCAGTGTGGCAATATCTACAGTTTCTAAATTAGAACCAAGGGGATCCATTTTACAGTTTTGTCATGGAAATGTACTATCGTACGTTGAGATTATTTCAGTATCTAAAATGGCTGTATAGTGTTTTGAATCAGATCTACTTTTCCTTCTCCAATAGGCCTTTTCCTCCTTCCTCCTTCCTGGTTTTCAATTTCATTGGTGAAATTTCATTGCACATGGATCAAGTTGCCTTTTGCACAATTTTCAATCAAAAATCTATGAAAAAAATTTATCTTGAAAACGAAGGTTAAGATAATTGCTTCGTTTTCATCGTAATATTACTTTAATAATGAGGTAAAGGCAGTTAAAAATCAAAACACTGAAATTTCTAGATTTGAACTTTCGCCATATTGGATTGTCATGTGACAGACACTGCGAGTCTTAGTATTTCTTCAAAGCTCAACATAAATATTTCGTCCAGTGTTACCTTCAATCTTACCAAACTGTTGGTGAGGTCCCAGATCATTGTCTTCGTGTTCGTCATTTATACAATCATCTATATTACCAACTTTCTTCCGGGCTTGTTTTGCTTTGTATTCTTCTATGGCCTTTTCAAATTGCTTTGGTGGCCAGCTGGTCCCCGGGAGTCCTTTACCAAATATGGTGGCGGGTCCCCTCAGTGCCATTGTCCAAATTCTCAGCCCCGAAGTACAGTAGCAATAGACAGATGACCAAAGAGGTGCTGTAAGCTTAATAAGAGGTATTGTAACCTCTTTCACAGACGCACTTTTGGCTCTTTGTAATAAGCCCCTTCCTTTTTTGTTGGCTCTTATTTTACGCACATCTTTAACGCCGGAATGGTAGTTTCAGTCCAGTGGGCCGATCCCAAGCCCAGTGCTGGCTACCTTACACTACACATAGCCTATCCAAATGGGCTTTTGACCATGTGTCTGGAAAGTCCAAATTAAATTGATAATTAATGCTCTCAAAGCATACTGAATAAACGTCATGGGATATCTGTTTAATGTTTGATATGATTGTGTGAGATCAATCTAGTGCAGTTATTGGACTACAAGAGTACTGGAGATAACGAGCTATCATCAAATGACAAAAGCCAAAAGATAATAACACTCAGGTCAACGAAAATATGACAGATGACATAGAAGTTCGAGCAATCATCATAATAATATGAATTTTTATTTACTTAACCTGCGATGAAAATACCTATAAAATTGATGGAAACGAAATTTGACTTTATTTCCAGTACCTCCAACAAATTTTCTATATTTTTTCCTCAATTACAGTACAGTAGGTCGAAAATTGATGATAAATTTGATGAATTTTTGAAAATCGATATTCCAATGGGAAATGATAGGTTTGCCGCAAGCCATATGACAGAATATCCATCCATCCGAGTCCTTGCAAAAAATACAAGTGAGGTAGGCAATTGAATTTGCTAACTTTATTAAACAAACATTGATACGTTTCTTCAGTTCAACAAAGTTATAGGTCTTTAAGTCAAAATTGTTTTTTTAAAAAAAACTCTCCCATTGAAATAACACAGGAGGCGAAAAATGATTTTAAAAAATGACTTTGAAGCACTGTAACTTTAGTATTCATCAAGTAAACCAAACACTTAGTGTACAAAAAAGTTAGACGATTCAATTTTCTATGTTTACAATGTCATCAATTACAATTCATCAATTTTCGACCTATTGTACATTTTGTAATTGAGGAAAAAATTGGGAAACATTTGGAGGTAATGGAAATGAAGTCAAGTGACGTTTCCATCAATATTTTAAGTATTTTCATCAAGGGTTAAGTAAATAAAAATTCATTCGTAAAGAGGCTTTGACACGTAGTTCAATGGGGGAGCTAATTAAGGTTGCCAAACTTATGGAGGGGAGTGTACATAATAATACGAACTTGTAAAGTGTTTTGAAAATTTTGTGATTTCACGATGAAACGTTGAATCACTCAGGTGCACAGCGAAAAATGATACAATATCCTGCCTGGATATTTGCGAAATATTATAGTGATATGGAACGTATCCTTAAGAATCCGTGACAAATACTCTAAGTATCGCGATTTTGGAGATTCACGGATATTAGTGAGAGACGGAACACTGGTATCCTGAAATATCCATAGTTCTGGATACTACTGATATACATCACGTCTTTTCGCGTATTCTTAGGGGTATGACTAATATATGATTCGAATACTCACAAATATAGCTGAATATTCAACAATTTTCCGGGATATTTAGGGATACAGTTCGTAATATTTTTGGGATATTCACGAATACGGTCGGGATTGCAAGGAGATTTTCGTTCATATTACCTAACAAACTAAACACGAAATGACGCATTTAAATACGTACAGTTTATTATATCATCAATACAAATGAGATGTACGATAGGTGTAAGCATTAAAACATCTGATCACAAGGATGTATAACAATGACCACATCGATGTACTTAGGCTGTTCTGCTACTTTTACATCTCCTACTTGACGTCCTTCTTCACTTAGGAACTGATGTGGCTGCCATGCTGATCATTGTGTGTTCAATAATTTGAATTTAGACTTGAGGAAAATGCTCGATGTTTAAATTAGGGGCATTGATAACGTTGTAAGTTGTAACGATATTTCGTCTCAATTTATTGATAGCGCGCGGACGTCAGAGAGCAAACTTCCGGTTTGATTGCAATGTTTTAATGGCGACTAATATTTGTGTTTGTTACCTTATTTAAAAGCCATTTTCAGTGTCTACGAATATCGAAATGTAGTAAACAAAAGTTTCCTAGTAAAGTTCATAAGATTCTCTACAAGATGAATTCACGTTTATATCTTGAAAGTACGACCGAAGCCAGATATAATGAGAAAACTACGAAATGTACAAGCTAAAATTCGACAGATTCATGGTATTATTGAAACAAATCAGTTGACATGAAGGAAATGTTGTTTCTACTTTAGTTGTTATAAACGTTAATATACCCTCCATGCTTAGAAGCAAACTTTTCTTCGAAGCGCAGCTTATTGTCGATGAAATCGTTGATTGAATTTCCCAAACAAACACAAGTTGGAGTACCCAAAAATATCCTTTCGAGGATATTTCCGGATATTCGAAGTATCGGTGTCTATGTCTATGTCGATAATCTGCAAAAGGCTCATAAGCCCATATGAAGCAGATATATGATTTAACAGTAATAGAATTTGAAAAGAATATAACTTAAAACCTTAACATTTAAGAATAGATATATTTTAGACAATATCCCAGGAACTTTATTTAATATTATCTTCCATGCTTAGAAGCAAACTTTTCTTCGAAGATCAGCTTATTGACGATGTAATCTTCGGTCATCATGAATTTCCTGTCTTACATATGTCTGAATTTCCCAAACACAAGTTTTTCGATGGCAGCCATTTTGAGCAGTTAAGATATCACGAGGAGAATGTTGTTTCACTGCAGAAATTCATACAAGATATTCCACATTCTATATGGCGAAACAAATGTTTCAATGACACTAAAATTGTTAATTGAACGTTATAATTTATGTACTAGCATAATTTCCAGGAATCAATATTCCGGATACTTAAAAAAATTTCTGGATACTAGGGTAGTCAACTATCCTGAAATATCCTTAAATCGGATATGTTGAAAGTTGGAAACTTGGAGTATCCAAAAATATCCCTTTGAGGATATTTCCGGATGTTCGAAGTATCGGTATATTTTAGGTTATTCAAGGATACCTCAAATATCCGGGATTTGCGATACGTACGGAAACTATAGGATATTACACCATTTTTCGCTGTGGTGGTAAAATATTTTTACAAAAATTATAAAAAAAATTCTTCTACAAATATTTTCTAAATGTGCTAACTTTCAAAAAGCAATATTGATGACCTTTCTAGGTTGAAAACAAATTTTCATCATCTTTTAAATATTTATGGACCATTGGATTCAATTAAATGCTTTTTCTCTAGCTCTAAACCACCTTTCTGAGGCTATGAGTCAATTTATATTTCGAATTCTTGCTTATTTTTCGCCAATTTTCTATTTTTAGACGCAAAATAGGTTAGGATTTATGCATTGCTACATATTATTTTGTTATTTTATTTGAATATATATTCAATATATTTTTAGCATAAATCCTTCAAAATCAACTTTTTGCAATACAATTGAAAAGTTTCACATGGCACATTTTGATATCATGGGTAGGTTTATGATAGGGTCCTAGGGTGATCCCTCAGTATCTATATGTTCTCATACCAATCTGCCAAATTTTAATGTGCTCCTATACCAACCAAAATAACCCCCCAAAGCCATATCAAATGTCCAAATGTAGGACCAATGCCATACCAAATGCCTAGATATTAGACCAATGCCATACCAAATGTCTAAATATAGGACCAATGCCATACCAAATTAAGCTAAAAAAAAGCTAATATTCAAACTGAAGAAGGCCCTGAAAAGAAGGCAGATCCATGAGGAAAAAACGATGACCGAAATGGGTGCTATTGTCGACAAAAGGATGGATATTGAGTTCTTAATAGAGGAAGTTGGGCGGGTAGATACTCCAAGGTAAATCATAAAGAATACCTTAAAAAGGATCAGTTTATAAGGATTACAAAATGCCAAATCCCTATTAAATGTGAAGCATGTTTAAAGAGGGACATGGGGTATACTGAATAGGAGGCAGACAAATGGAACAGCCAAAATATATGGAAAACACTGCTGCCGTTAACATGGCTTAGGGAGACACACCGACTATTATTTTGGTGTAAAACTGACTTTAATTTTGACCAAACACTAAATTTTGAAATGCCTATAACTTTTTCCTCATTTGTGAGTTGAACCGTGATACTTGGCAGATCAATGTACATTGGATGATCTTTACTTGAAATGATATATCACACATCCTATGGAGACATTGGTATATGTCTGCCTAGGGGGGGGGGCATACTTTCGGGACACCCTGTAGACCAATACTATACCGCAAATGTGAGGTAGCATTCAGTGGAAAAATCTGACCGATTTGCCATACCTCAATTACATTCTCATACCAGATCCTAAAATTTGGGTCCATTGCCATACCAAATGTACAGAGTGAACCCCCGGGAGATCGCCTCGGCAAATATTATTCAGTTATTGTTAAAATAGTTTTGCTCGTTCGCGAGACCACTGCAACAAATAGTTATGAAAAGAAGAACGTTCGGAAATCTAGGGTAACAAAGTCAAGGTCAAGACAAATGGCAAATTTTTAGTGCATACTTATTTTACCTAAAGTAAAGCTTGTGTAATCCATTCATTTAATTAAACCTAATTCGGGACGTTACATCGAATAGTTTTCTATAAAATGAGCATAAATATGTTGAGTAAAACCTCCAGATGTGTTAAATACTTCGGATCAAACTTAAAAGCGGTAAGTTTTTCGAAATAATTTTATCATCAGCGGATGGATTTTATTTTAGGCGACTTTTTAGCTTCTGGTTTAAGCCTACTTAATTGTCAATGCGGCACAGAATTCTTAATATTTAGTAATTATGAATCTGCAAAGAAATGATTAATATTTAGTCTGAATGTCGAACAGTTCAATTTTTGAAAATTCTGATTGAGGTTCAGGATATGATCTTGACACATCGACAGCAGCAAAATTCATGAGAATAGGATAGAGTTCTGTATTTCAACATGAAAAGTGGATTCTAAAAGGGAACTTTTGTAATCTGTGTATAGGGGAGATGCATCGAACTTTGTAGGATTCATTCGTCATCGGGCTACTTCGACCATGGGGTTATTTTCACAATTGCAATTTCCAGGGTCAGCCATCTTGAACTAAGATCTCGCCTATTGGAGATTTAAATTTTTCAAAAAAACATGGCGGACTTAAGAATATAAGACAACGTCGAAATTAGCCCCATGGTTGAAATTTACCTTCTTCTATGGCCACTATATCGTGGCCTTTGTCCAAAGATAAATCCCTGCGTGTTATTTACTCTGCCTGATGTGAATCATGTCGCTATATATGGTCATGTCGTAATCATGAAATTTGAAGTCTGAATGTTTGCCATTTTTCCACATCACAATTTGAATTGCGAGTTTTGGTCTTATTACCTTGTATTTTGATTCTTTCTACAACAAGATTTTGGATAGGTTTGCATTATGAGATTAGATTGAGGCTAGATATACAATTTTTAACCAAACAGTGGCAAGCCTTGTATTTGTAAGTATTGCTGTATCAAGGATTATAGTGCTGCAGCCTACAAACAAACTGGAAGAGTGCTCAGACATGAGTTTATTTCTGACACAGTTCAGTTCAAAATGATTTTCTGGCTTGCATTAGGAATTGTTTCATTGAATTAAAAAGTTTCAGACCTAATTCATTCACTACTGAGGTTTTCATTGCCTTTTGTAGGTCAAAGTTAATTACTAGGTCATTATATTGATATTATTGTGATTTTAAGGCCCCTATAGGTATCAGCTGGTCAATGTGATGTGAATGTCACATAATAGTAGGCCAAACTGTCAAGTCCAGTTATGGTCAAAGGCAAAAGACCATTTACCATAAAGGTGCAGCAAATATATATTTGTAACAGTTAAAACATGTACTTTTATGTACATTTATCTTCATCACGTGTATAATGTGTTTTAACAGGTCTATCAATACATCGCTGAGGTATTTAAATACAAGCAATTCTATTTAGTTATTCTGTCTACTAGGAGGCATATTATACTCAAGTATTAATCAAATGACTCCCCAATTAAAATGTTACAAGTAACATGTGTTAAAAAGTACGCATTTAAAAAACAATATTCATTGATTTAATGTGATTTGACTATATCATTTATTAATGGAATGTAATACCAGAAAACTTGTAATTCAGGTTTGGATTATTCAAGGTCTAGACTCTAAATGCAAATGATATGGTTCCAGCTAGACGAATGCTAGCTTTAAATGCATTTTGTGAAAAGAGTGATCAATGACGTCAACACAATTGTGATATATATTATTTCTTATATTTTAGTCTTTGAGTTTGCATGATTTTGATTTTGTTATCAAGTCTTGACTTTTGTACAATGATGTAGCCCCATTGTTATAGGTAGCCATTTCAAGTAAAGTAGCCAGAATCTTTTAATAGAATATAGCTTATAAAAAAAGAAACCGAGGAAGGCTCGAGTTGAAAAATGCATCCTTCCCAGGAACCAATTTACACCCAAATTAACAGTGAATAAACACTGCTTTTAATGGAAAAAAATCAATAGCTTTTTTAAGAATATCATAAAAGTCAAAAGTGTTGCTCTTTGCTCAAGACCTTTCATATATATATATTTTTTCAAAGCAACAGCTGCAACAACCAGACAATGGTAGACATTATTAGCTAAACTTTAAAATTTTATTAAAAAGTGTCCAAATGATTCAAACTGTAATATCACGGTGTATAACCCAAACGCTCCTACATGCATGACGGAGCGTTTCATTACTGAACTTAAACAAAGAACCGCTACGGAGTAGGAATACTGACTGGCGGGAATGATGAGCCGTCTGACGATTTCCCCAATAATGGGAATAAGAGGTATGAGTTACATATTTCGAGTATACCATTCGATGGGTGTGATATTCATGTTGTACTTGGCTGGCTGTTGAGGTTTGAAGCAATTAGGAAGAGCTGTACATAGCAGTATAGTTATCAAAATTCAAAAACGTATTTGTCATTCTACCGGTCAAAACCCCTTTTGTCGAGACATGTGATTAGTTGAGCTAAGATTAGAGCACCAACGTATATTTTAGTCAAATTCCAATGCTTCAACGCACCATACATTATCGTAATAGTGATTTGATGATAGAAAATCCAGTCTTAAAAATGATGACATTCTCATATTCAAGAAACGCTCCGATCTGGTTAACACAGTGAACTGGAAATGCTCCAGTAGTCTAGATCAGTTTAGAAAATATATAGCTTGCATTTTCTTTTCAGGAAGAGAAAGAAAAGATCTATTATACCCCTTGGCATCAATAGAAGAAAGATTAATTCACATATAAATTTTCGTTTTTACTATAGTTTTATGATTTAGCACATATGTAGGCATGACATCATCTAATGTAGGCTTAAATCAGCTAGTTGCACGTTTAGCACCACCAGGTTCACATGTTTCAATTTACCTAACAAGTACAACACGTTTTTGAGAGATAGATTCGATTCGAAACTCTTCTCTAATAATCTGAAAATTATATCAAAACAAAATGGTAAGAGCGTTTCTAAAATTGTGTTCTAAATCGACGGAGCGTTTCGAGGAAAACAAGCGATTTCTCGAGAACAAGTAATGGATTTGGACTGGAATTTTAGGAAATGAGAATATACTAGTTTGTGATCTACTACATTAACAGAAAGATTAACGTTTTCATAGAAATACTAGTTTAATTCGTAATTTGTGGTCAAATCGTCATCTTCAGATTCGTTCGATCTACACTACGGAGCTTTGATCAAGCAAATAACAGTTTACCACCAGAAGATGAATAAATCAGATCTTTGCTCACGGTATCGTTCATCGAATGGTACATAATATTTCACCATAACATATGATATGTAAGAGAAACGAGAGGAACAATACTTACGGTCATAGTGGAATCTTCATTAGCCGCCATTTTATTTCGCTCCGGAGCGTTTCCGCGTAAATGAAACGCTCCGTCGTGCATGTAGGAGCGTTTGGGTTATACACCGTGAATATCTTCTTGGTTGTTTTGAAATGTAATGTTAACCTACCTGTCTTTCTGTTTCTTTATTTGCTATCATGGCTGTATTCTGAAAGAAATTCTGGTTTCTTTTACATTAAAATACTGTGATAGAATGCAATAGCATGGCATCATTTTCTGTTTTCAATGAATGTCTAATTAAATGTTTTTATTTTTTTATTTCCGTTTATGTTTTATTCTCTGTCTGCATTGTCATTGTCAGTATCAACGCTGGCTCAAGTTGTAATGTCTAGTATTAAGAAACAAAGAAATAGTAACCTTCTTCAAAATGTTATAGGAAAGTATCCATACATAGTATAAATTGCATAGGAATAGTTTTTATCAGAGTTTTATAATGAATTTTGATATAAGAATGTAACATTTGATTGTATTGTCTATTGTGTCTCTTTAGGAGCATTTCTACTATTATTCAACACATTCCTCTATATGAGGTGGTTACTAGGCCTAGTCCATGTTAATAGCGTTCTGGGTCTATGATTATATTTTATATCATGTTTTTTACATTGTTATGTATTCTCATCATTAAATGATGCTATACATTTTCAGAGTGTTGGTCTTGCAGCCAGAAACACCACTGGTAGGGAGGTTAGCAGTGCTGGAGTGACCAGAGATTTCAGCTCAACAGTGACTGAAGCCACTTTCCCCACTAAGGTAGGCTCATTTCAGGGCTCCTATACAATATGTTGAGTGAAATGCATCATTAGAATATCAATTTGTATACAGTTTGCATGTACATGTACAGGGGTTTCACTAGAATTTCTCACAACAGGCTAAATAAATGAAAACAATGGGCAAAATTAATGGAAATCATCAATTTAACATGGAAAAGTTGAAGTCCCTTAAAACATCAGACAATTTAGTAAAAACAATTGGTGAAAATCGCCTGTTGCCAGTTGCTAATGAAACCCCCGACATATACTGTATGTACATTGCATTGATATTGTAAGTTGAGTAATACTGTTGCGATAACAATATCTATCATACTACTGGAGAAGGTTATATTTTATATGTAGAAATGTTAACTCGTCTTAGTATTATAGTTCTTTATATTGCATTCTACAACTATACCACATCTTCAGAATATATTCATATTGACATTCCAGGAATACAAGCTACATAGACTGGACACACCCCCAGCCAGTGAGTCGACCTTGACCCGTGATGACGCCCTCAAGTTCTACCAACAGATGCAGACTATAAGACGTATGGAGACGGCAGCTGGGAATCTCTACAAAGAAAAGATCATCAGAGGATTCTGCCATCTTTATTCTGGACAGGTGTGTGCATATATAGCAAGCTAGTCTTTGTCAGGTCTTTTACCGTGTTTTCCTCACTACTCCTCGGCAAACAGTTGATCTTTTGAAAATTGCCTTACAGCCATAATCCATGAGTATATTTTGAATAGTCAAGCAGTTTTCATTAACCTTTAGCGTGCTGCCGGCGGACTCGTCCGCCGAGACTAAAATGTCTCTCACAACTGCGGGCGGACCCGTACGCCCGATTTCAAACTTTTAAAAACTTTACTTATTCGCGCCATTCGTATTGTCCAATTAGATTGCCCGATTTATTCAGTGCCTAACATGACTTCCTGTTGACCTAGAAATGGCGATATTTCGAAAAATAATTCTCAATTCAACAATTTAAACAGTGTTTTAGTCGTTTTTAGTGAACGAATCGTACAAAATGGTGGACAAATACGATAACAACGAAAATGTGGAGGAAATGGATTACGATTTCGAGCTCTTTAGGCTCTTGGAAGCCGATAACGGTCATCGAAAATAGAAACTAGAATATTTTCTGAATTGAAAAATTGAACATTCGATCGCTGCAAATTCAGATTTGGATTCTGACCAGACGAAGAGGCGGAGCGGCGGATTCCGGAGGAGTATTCATGGTATATTTATGCCCAGTCGTGTTAATGTACGAAAAAATTCATGAGAACATTTTTTTCATGAGCCAGGCCACTGTATCTTCCCTTTGTGAAAATTTTATCCAGATTCATTCAGTAGTTATTGAGATATTAATTATTTAGTCCAGGTATATCATTTTTTGCACTCTTTGAAAAATAAGCCAGTTGCGTGGGATATATTTGCTGAAATAAGGCAGCATGGTAAAGGTTAAAATATTATTGGTAACAAAACTGTAGAATCCTCTGTTATTCTCAGAGGGTGATGTATTTAGTTGATGAGAATACAGGGTAATGTTAAGAGGAGACTGTTACCCATTTACATTATAGGAAGCATGCTGTGTTGGGATGGAGGCAGGTATTAGACCTGATGATGCAGTGATCACTGCATATAGGGCACATGGATGGACTTACATGCGTGGAGTGCCTGTCCTGGGTGTACTAGCTGAACTTACAGGTGAACAACTAGATTATTATGAATTGCATTGTGGTAAACCACACCCTCCTCTTCCTTATTCTCTTAGAATCTCACTAACAGTAGGTTGAGATAGTAAAGACTGCATTATTAATTCGACAATTCGATAATGCGACAATTTTTGATTTTCCAAGGGTTCTATTTTGCTGATCTAACCTTTTGGAGAAGTGAAAAATATTTTAGTCGTTTGAGTAATTTTAATTGCGCTAGAACAATGATATCTTTGTCAATGGAATTCTGAAAGCATTTTTTCTGCATTTTTGTTGTTGACATGTTGATGTCTCAAAGTCTTTTATTGTCATATTCGTTTTAATATACATGTATATACATATATACATGTCTGTTTTTGTTCAGTAGATTGAAGCATATAGTAGATAACCAACCAGTGAAAAATTTGTAAAGCAAGTTCAAAAGGTCCATCATTTATTAACATGTACTCGTATATCTGGTATAAAGTTGATCATGTTGTTTTCAGGTAGAATCTCTGGCTGTGCTAAGGGCAAAGGTGGTTCCATGCACATGTACACTGATAATTTCTATGGTGGAAATGGTATTGTTGGTGCACAGGTGAGCAACTTACATAACACCATGATATTAATATGGTACAGTTGCACTGTTATCTTCCTATATTAAGTAAATGAAAATATCAACTGTCTCAAAATTCAAACGTGACATTATTAGTCATCGAATGAGCCCCTAGTAAAAGCCCTCTGTGCCAGACTTTTGGCATTTTATTTTGATGGGTTTCTAGTTCTGTCTTGAGAAGATGGAAAAATGTAAAATGCATCATCAGGGCTGTATCAAGTGGTGTTTTGGGTTTATCTTTAAAACACAGTAATATGTTTTGTATTAGATTCTTTACAAGTTTGTAAACTGAATGTTTTTTGTGTCATATATGAGACTACAAGAGGTGAAAAACAAGAGAAATTAGAACCATATTTAAAGTACATGTATTCATAGTAACTGTATTTTCTTGACTTGTTCAATGAATTCTGATTTCAGATTCCTCTAGGGGCTGGCATAGCCTTCGCTCAGAAGTACCAAGGCAAGGACAATGTCACAATAGCACTATATGGAGATGGCGCAGCAAACCAAGGGCAACTTTTCGAAGCTTTCAATATGGCTAAACTTTGGGATGTTCCTGCCATATTTGTGTGTGAGAACAATGGTTATGGGATGGGAACCAGCGTAGAGAGAGCATCTGCTAGCACTGATTACTATACAAGAGGCGACTATGTACCAGGAATATACGTAAGAAACACAATATGTCATACTTTTCTTTTAATAATCTGGTGTACATTATCTGAACAGTTACGAGAATCCCCTGTTGTTACCATGATAGTAAAAGGATAATGAACTTCCAGTAAGCCAGTTATGTTTTCTAGATAGGGTTTATTTCTTAATTGTCTTAATCAGGTTGATGCAATGGATGTGCTGACAGTTCGTGAGGCCACTAAGTATGCTGCAGATTATTGTCGTTCAGGCAAGGGACCAATCCTGTTGGAGTTGGCCACCTATAGGTACAGTGGCCACAGTATGAGTGATCCTGGTACAAGGTGAGAGTTTGATTGCCTGTGTGTCTTTTCACTTTCACAATACAATCTGTTGATTGATTTGGATTGCAAATACAGATTTTTATAATTTTTTGGCCACTGCAAATGTTAGAAATTAACCTTTGTGTTTCCAATGGAAACAAGTGAATAATTTTTATTAATCTCAGACACCTTTCTTGAATTAGTGATGAACATTTATTTTTTGTTGCAGTTACCGAAGTCGTGATGAAGTTCAAGAAGTGCGACAAAAAAGGGACCCCATCATGCTTTTTAAAGAAAAGATATTAACATCAAATCTAGCTACAGCTGATGAGATCAAGGTTAGTAGCAAAAAACATTTTGTGTAAGTGTTCAGCTGTCTCAAATGTTGACATCTTGTATTACACATTTTTCACAAATAAACCAGGTTACCTAATACGAGAGACTGCATGATTACCCTACAGTGTACAGTGTATTTGAAGAGATGTCTGTTGAAACTAGAGAATGATTTTTGCAGTGTAACATTGATGAATGCTTCATTTTATCTTTTGATTAATTATCCCATCGAACGAAGTTCGGAGGGATATAGGGAACGCCTCCGTCCGTCCGTCCGTCCGTCCGGGCAATAACTCAAATACCGTTGGCCCGATTTTGTTCATATTTTGTACACATATACCCTATGGAGGTTGAAGTTCTGCTCGAAAGCTGATTTTCAAAATGGCCACTCATTTCAAAATGGCGGCCATTTTAGTGCCGATTTTACAGTAATTTAGGTGCAATATGTAAAACTGTAATAGCAATATGTTTTAAATGTAAAAAAATTATAAAGGACATTAATAAAGCTACAAATGTAGATATTAAAAAAGCACATGGCAGCCATCTTGAAAAATGGCGGCCTTTACTCGTTATTTTACGATTTTTGCTGTAACTCGAAAAGTAGTACAGCAATTTTGTTCATATTTGGTATGTGAATACTATAAACATTGCACACTGTATAAAGACACTTTTGGTAGAAGGCGGCCATTTTTCAAAATGGCCACCATTTTAACATATTTTACTATAACTCGAAAAGAAGTGGAGCAATTTGATCATATTTGGTATGTGAATACTATAAGCATGGCACACTGTCCTATGACACTTTTGGTAGAAGGCGGCCATTTTGAATTTTTTTTTTAAAAATGGCCACCATTTTAACGTATTTTATTATAACTCGAAAAGTAGTGAAGCGATTTTGTTCATATTTGGTATGTGAATACTATAAGCATGGCACACTGTCTAATGACACTTTTGGTAGAAGGTGGCCATTTTAAAAAATCCATTTTAACGTATTTTAATATAACTCGAAAAGTAGTGGAGCGATTTTGTTTATATTTGGTTTCTGAATACTTAAAGCATGGCACACTGTCTAATTACACTTTTGGTAGAAGGTGGCCATTTTGAAAAATGGCACCATTTTAACATATTTTGCTATAACTTGAAAAGTAGTTCAGCGATTTTGTTCATATTTGGTATGTTTCATATTTTATATGAAGACTATAAGTATGGCACACTGTCTAATGACACTTTGGGTAGTAGGCGGCCATTTTGAAAAATGGCCACCATTTTTACGTTTTTACTATAACTTGAAAAGTAGTGAAGCGATTTTGTTCATATTTGATATGTGAATACTCATGAGCATTGCACACTGTCTCATGACACTTCGGATAGAAGGCGGCCATTTTAAAAAATGGCTGTCATTTTTACATTTTTTACTGTAACCCGAAATGTAGTGGAGCGATTTTGTTCATATTTGATATGTTAATACTTTAAGCATGGCACATTGTCTAATAAAACTTTGGGGAGTAGTCGGCCATTTTGAAAATGGCCACCATTTTACAAGTACATCTGTGCGAATTTTATAGGTGGCTATTTAAAAGCATATTATTTCTTCTGATGACAACTTGGCTAGTGAGCAACCATTTTGAAAATGGTGGCCTTTCTGGTGTGTTGTTTTATGATATTTGCTATATATTTTGTTTGTAAAAATGCCAGCCATTTCTGTTCGATGGGATTTGCCACGCTTTGGCGTTGCCGTTGGTCTGGTTGTTTTTATTTATTTATTTAATTTGTGTTATTTTGATGATTTGCCCCCACTGACCAATTAATACACAAAATGTGCAATTATATCTGTTTTATTTCAACTCTAATTGCATCCTCGCAGGCTGTTGACAAGCAAGTCCGCAAAGAGGTGGATAGTGCAGTTGAAAGATCTCGCAATGACCCTGAGATTGAGCTAGAAGCGTTATATGAACATGTATATGTAGACCAAGCGAAAGATTTCCCAATAAGGGGATGTCAAAGCATAACATCTGGAGTTGCTCAATAAGTGAACCATACCTATGGTAAAATCAACTTGTATGACAGCTTTACTTTTCTGTACACTTTGAAGGAACATAGGCTTCTATTGCTTACAGCATATTGGATTAATTTGGTGTCAGTATTTCAAACTGTTAAGACACTTATAACTATATGCTACATGTTAATTTGAGTGTATATCATTGTAAATCTAGTTTTTCCTTCATTTATTATGTCACCACCAGAAGTACTGTTTGTGTTTGCGGTTTGTGTTTGGCTGTCTGCATCTGTAACACCGCTTGGCATATGTAAAAATGGCAGGTGGTGATATTTTGCATGTTAATGCCTTGCTCTGTCTTGCAGCAATTATCATTTGTCACAGGTCACTAAATGGTGACAGAAAAATAAAATCTATGTTTTGTTCTTGGCTTTTAAATGCAAGGCTGTAAATTCTGCTTTATGCATTAAACCATCAAGCCATCGGTGTATTGTAGATCTAAAACACAATTTATTATTTAGGTTGATGAATGAGACTGAAGGACTGAGATTGGAAGTTTGGAGCTCTAAACTTTGTGCTTCAATAGTTTTTTATTTCACCTCCACAAGTGGTGACATATTATTATAGTCTCCAACATTTTTGTGGACATTGTTTGACATCTGGCGGTCGCTGTCTGTAACAAATGGCAGGTGGTAACATTTTGTTAATGCAAGTTACTGCCCTGTTGCTTTTCATGTTAACATTTTGATTTGCCCATCATCAACATTCATATCACTTAATATTGTGTGCTTGAAATCATGACAATGTGCTTTATTATTAATATATGAATGAGTAATTACAAATGCTACACTAACAGACTAATCAGAGAGCAAATGTGACTCTTACAAGTATGTTGCTGATGCTTTGTAAAACTTAAAATATATTTATGTGCTTAAAACTGCACATTTATATGATTATTTGATATCCAGGTATATTGTATGTATAGTAGTACTATTTTTTTATGAATTGTTTTATATTTCTCTTGTTCCTCCACAAGACAGTAGAACTACTTCTATTATGATCACTAACAGGAGGGAGTAAACAACAGAAAATTCATCCATTGGAATACTTTAGGAGTCAGAAAATTCATCTATTGGAATACTTTAGGAGTCATGTCAAATTGTCAAGTAATTGATTTAACACATGATAAGACCCTCAATATTTTCAGCTCTCCTCCCCCAACTATTTCTACATGTAAATATGACACATATTTGACACAGGTCCTTAGCATGTAGCATCTTTAATATTTACATATATTTTAACATTCAACTGATTATATTTATGCACTTCAGGCTATTGAAACAGAGGTACGTAAAACTGTGGAAGAAGGAGTAAAGAGAGCAAAGGCTGACCCTGAGCCACCTATGGAACTACTATACGACCATGTATTCAAGGATGCCCCTAAAGACTTTACTGCACGTACAGTAGATCCTTTTGTAAATGCAGAATCTAGGCAATAACATTTAATGAACTATAGATGAATCATCAGTAATATCAGATACTCTACATGTTGTGATCTTATTAAGGAATATACACTGAGAATATTAAAAACTGTTGTCTTTAGTAGACTAGCTCTGCTGTTTTATTTTGGTACAAGCTCTGTTGTTTTATTATTTTGGTCCATCTTGCAAAAAAGTCCATTGTTAAACAATTTACTTGTATCATCTGTGCTGATATCTTTCATGCATGGATAACTGATCACTTGCTAGATGTGTAAAATTATTTGAGCCGAGAACTTTTTTCATTGCTAAATAGATTTGTATGTCTTAAATTAAAAAGCCTTTCTACAACTCATATTGCAAGTTTAACTTTTTTAATTGCCAACTGGAGTTATATGTCATAATAGCCTGGTTACAATTTATATTGCTGAATTTCATTGCCACATGGGTTTGCATGTAACTTTATTTACAAGTCAGATTGTTGAGTTTGTTTTTAGAGAAAATTGGTGAGAAATAAAGAAACTATTTATTAAGTATACTCATTGTACTGTTTTTGAACTTTCTTATAACGTTTGTTAAAAACACTAGGGAGAGATTACTTCCAGAGTAAGAGTGGATGTTAGGCCGAAAATTGTGTTCATGGTCCATTGGTTTTAGCAAAAACAAGCAAAAATAGACTTCAACAATCTGCTGAAGAACCCTAGTGACCTTTAACTGAAGAGAAAGAAAGATGGCATTAGTGGCTAATAAAACTTATAACGTGAATTACCCAGATGCGAGTAGGTAGTTACCAGTTTCACCACCAGGTGGCTGATTCGGGTTAGTTAACATGGCAAGTATGCGTATAAGAGCTTTCTCATAAACTTGAATATTATCAGTTTAAGTGGGTCAATTTTCATATAATCCTTACGTGTTTGATAATTATACAAACGAAAATATGTCCAGTAAAAAAAAATATCTGCCCAACACAAGAAAAGATATCTCATTTTTGTGATATTGGGTCTATGGGGAATCTCCCCGACCTAGAAGTCACATTTTCGAAGAAGATTAAATTTTCAAAGTTGATAAATACTTTTTTAAACCACATTTCTAGATGCAATTTTACATGTAGACTATGATATCCCTTTAACTAAATTTTGAATAATTTTGAAGTAAATAAAGATTATTTCTACTCATCACATCTAGAATATTGTTCTACACTCCTCTACTTAGTTATATAGGTTAGCGAGAGCGCTGCGCCTGCGCAGTTTTAAATTTTGGCGCACACATCAATTTATGAGATTCACTGTAAATTAAACTAAAATTTTCATTTTTTCAAAATATTTTAAGTAGAAAATGAACTTTACCTTATGTCAAAGTTCTCTTGTTTATTAAGAAAAATGTTTTGGGATATACTAAATTCTGTCTTATTTTGGTGTGAGTATATAATGCACTATTAGCTTTAAATTATACGTCTACTACCAAATAATGTGTAGATAAACATTCATACTGTATGTAGCAGTTTTTGATAGTATTTAGTCTGTGTCACAATGAACTTTAAAGTACTTACAAAGTTCAATATCCAAGGGATTATACTTTTACATAAAGAAGCCAATACCAGCCAGTATTCAAATATGAGATGGTTATCCATTCATAGATACTCTATTGTGGTCTAATATCCAAAACACCCTTGTTTAAGTGCTCATTTTGCAAGAGTCACTTGTGTTTTAAGTAGTTTTAACACAAACATACGTTTAGTCCATTAGAGTTCCTGTTTTCTACCATCTAAAACAGATTTAAATATCTGGATGACATCAGGATTTATTTCAGCTGTATAGAAATGACCGATAGAGTGCGCTCGCTGAAGGGCCCACGCTGAATCTTTGCCATACTGGTACCCGGCAGCAAGTATTCCAAATACAACTAAAACAAGTAAAACAGTGCTACAGTACAATGCCCATATGTATATTCTTACTGACAGAAAATTAATCGTCTGTTTGTCTTTGAATTGGGAGAGAATCACGGGGAATAAACTGGAATAACGGGAACGCGATGTCAACGGAATATTTGTCCGCTAATGTGAAATAATGCTACTGAAATTACTCAGATGCGAGTAGGTAGTTACTAGTTACCAGTTTCGGCACCAGGTGGCTAATTCGGGGGAAATAACATGGCAGGGTATTACAAAGTTCCCTTAAACTTGAATATTCATCAGTTTTAGTGGTTCACTTTTCATATTACCCTTATGTATCTGATAGTTATACAAATTAAAACATGTCCAGTAAAGGATAATGTTATCTGCCCAACACAAGAAAAGATATTTCACTTTTTGTGATTTTACAACATGGGCTCTATGGGGAATCTCCCCAACCTAGAAGTCACATTTTCAAAGAAAATTAAATTTTCAAAGTTGATAAACTCTTATCAAAACCACATTTCTAGATGCAATCTTACATGTAGATTCGAAATATGACATCAGTTTGACTGAATTTTGAATTTTTAATGACGTAAATCAAGATTATTTCTACTCGCACCTAGTCTATTGGCTTACGTAAACTTACCGAAATTGGCTTACGTATGGATATTTATGAGGAATATGTAGAATACTATTTCTAAAATCACTTTATTATAGAATGTTATAAAAGTTTACCACTATGTATTAAAAATCTTGGAATACTGTTCTGTTAAGCCCTTGCATCAACCACTTTATGTGGCCCTTTCAGCCACATGTCATCTACGTAATGGGAGTTCAACGACTATCTCTATTGAGAAAGTGGTGCATAGTAACATCTAGATAACAGTAAGTGGAGAAAAAAGATAATGGAGGGGGGGCTGCAAATGTTAGATCAAGGCTACGTTAAGTGTGCTAATCAGATTTAAACTTATACCTGCCCTGTGGCCTGAGCCAGAGTGTATAATGACTGGTCCTTTGTTCCCTGCCTCCATCAATGAGTCTTTGTATTTCCAGAATGTGTCAACTTTCAGACGTGCAGCATTATCTGAAAATGCAACGTTAAAATCGATTTACCATTTATTGACTGCTCCGAAGACAAGTAATCAAGATGAACCATATGTAGATTAATATATTTACCAACTGGTAAGTGGTAGTAATCCAGTCCTGCTTTGGTGACAGCTTCTCGCTCTTTCTGCTCATTGTAGCCATATTCATCACCATACTCAAGAGCGTTGGAAGACTCAAAGTTGTCTTGACAAGAGTCACAAAGATAACTACTCGGCTTTTCCGGAAACACCCGATTATTGGCGAGACGTTCCAGCGATTGCCTATCATTCGGCACATTGTTGATCACTTCGTAATCGTTGATATTGATTAGGTTGACATTTTCGGTTGCATCATTTATCTCATTATTATCCTTATCAGTCAAATAACTTATTCCACTTCTGAGATTTACGATAGATTTGAAACCCCCGCCTTTGTGCAACTCTAGGTGTGTGTAGTGAGATTGACCAGCGAAAAACCAGTTGTTGAGAATAGGTTTAATGAACCAACCATGATACCTCCAAAGCAACGGTTGGGCGTCAGGGACTTGTGGATTTTCGATTTCCGGTTCTCCAGTTATTTCAGCGATGGTTTTACGGAAATGTTCGGCTGTATAGTCATTTCCTATTTCAGCACCAATTCTGTAAATATCCGCACTTTTTATCTGAGGATTGAAGGCATTGTCGTGTCTTGTCATGTTGGCCAAATGAGCAAGAAGAACGAACGATGCAGTGAACGCAATTTTGCAGTGAAACAATACCGGTTTTGGAAATTCTTGCATGACATTCCAAAATCGTTGTATCACCTCGATTCTGGATGCATCAGGCACACCTTCCCCGGGAAGAAAAATAGCCTTATATGGCATTCCGCAGCACTCTTGCGCAATATCGACATACTCCTTTGCAGAAGGTAAGTGTTCATCCCCGAGTGTTTCAGATTCTGTGAAGTTGAAAGTACTCACTATGCTTCTAAAGCCAACCTCGTGGGCATATTTTATTTGTCTTGCCGTTAATCTACCAGCTGTATAAAAATCTTTTGTAATCCGTCTAGCCCACCAAAGCTTCGGGGAGGGTAGTATTGTTCCGAGGAAGTCATCGTTACTCTCCTCACCCAAACAAGCACCAATAATTATTGCAAGTATGTATATCTTCATTTCAAGCAATGATGATAACAGACGTGCTGTCTTTCTTTCGCTGATATACTGTACGCAATGTCATTACTTTCGTACCAAAGTAAGTACAGTAGAACTTGTGTTAGTGAACACCTCTCTCTAGTGGACACTAGATTGCCATGTTAAATAAATGTCTTATAGTGAACAGCCATCTATTGTAAAGTGAACATTAAATCTTGACAAATTCATAAGGATTCACCTGTCTATAGTGAACATTGAAGCAGAAATGAACTAAGTATTATCCAGCAAAATTTCTGCACGGACTATGTCAAGTTAAGTGGTCAGTGATTGTTTATTTTATACCTTCAATTGGTACGCCGGAACCTGATTCTGGACATGATGTATTTGACAAACCCCAACAATTTAAAAGTAGAGTCAGTTAAAATCATTTATCTTTGGTATATGAAATGAGAGGGAATTCAATTTGGCTTCAAAATTAAACAAGTACTGCAACTATTAATTTCCTTTTTCATAACGAAGCAAAATCACAGGTTAAGACAATACGGTAAATTCCGCGAAACCAAATCCTTTCTGAAGTGAACACATGTTGACATGTTTGCCTTGCGAAAATGTTAACTACACACAGGTTTTACTGTAGTATTTGACCTTATTTTCTGCGACCGACGGGAGATTAACAGTGGGGATGTTAAGCTACACGTTTTTAAGATTTTAACTTTTACGTGAACGCGTAGAATTATGGTCCTCTGCATGGGGACTAAGTCTCCCCTTTGTAGTATTTTCTTGCTTGATTGAGTTTAAAGGTATAAGAAAAATAGCTGTAATTTTGTTGCTGGAAATACGAATTTAGTGGGTAAAGTAACAACTTACCAAGAGTTACGTCGTTAACACGTTTTAAATTTATTTTACACATGTCATACACCGTGTAATAAGTATAGATGAGATTAAACTAGCTAGACTTTGCCCGACTAACACGTATGAATTACGTACTTATCACAATTTAAAGGCCACGCGCAATATCTACATCGACAAGTGTATTTTCTTGTATAGTATATCACCCAGTATCACATTGTGACCTTTGGAAAAAATGTTTTAGGACTCTGAAAAGGTGGATTATTTGAAATAAAGTTTCTATTGTCACACCACAGAGCCTATAATTAATAGTTTACACCGAATATCTATTTTGTGTTAAACAAATTGAGAAAGGATAAAAAATAAGTGAGGCATTGATCAAGTTAAGAAGCGCAGATAATAAAATAATATTCTCATCGAATTAATTCAGTGATGATATTCAAAACATTATAAAATCTTCTTCTCGACCAAGACAGGCCAAATATGGTATCAATTATACCACCTTCATGTCATGGTATAATTTTTGAAATGCTGTATGCATAAATGATTGCAATAATCAGCTTTTTTGGTGATTTAACCAATGAAGTGGAGAAAACGATGTGTTTTCATCACAGTGTAACATAGAATGTATTTTATTTCTTGATCCATCTAGAAATCTAAATGTTCGTTCCTAAGATGGGGAAGTTTCAAATATTTGGAAATAAAAGAATGATATTTTAAAACTTACATGGGGCCTTTAAGAGCCTTAATTTTAGATTACCTTTTCGCAACTTGACTATTTATTATGCCAATGCAAACAATGTGTAATAAAAAAGTTAAAAGAAATAGTTCAAGTTGTCGTTGAACTATGAATGGTCATAATTCATTGTGTCTACTATGACATAAATCAAGTATTTTGACTTTTCAGTTATCTACCAAATAAATTTTCCAAATGCCCCCCCCCCCGGATTGGCCCAGAAAAAAGTAGGCTCATAAGAATTGTGGGCTCAAAACTTTTGTAGGGCCTCAATAAGTAGGCCTTTTTGGGCATTCCTCGGCCTTTTTAAGCTAAATTATCAAAAAGTGGGCCTCATGTTTTCAAAATTTTGGCCCAATTTTTTGATTTAGGGACCCCAAAATTATTTTGCGCGCAAGCTTTGAATGTGCGTGTGAGATGATTCACCTCACCCGATGCCAAAATAGTATTTGTTCTCATTCATGACAAATCTTTAAAATGAGGCACATCCGTAGATTAAAGGTAGGCCTATACGCATGATTTTGGACTCTGGACATTTTTCTGACGAAACTTATAATGTAACACTTCCCACATCCGAGTGTTTACTCTCCCCTTCTTACATATGGAAACTCAGATACTACAAAGGACCAAGGTTATATTTATTATTTTATTTTAGCTTTATCCTCGATATTTCTATCTATCATCAATCAATCAATTTATTTTATTCTTAATACAGACATTAAGGCTTCAATGCAATATTCTTTGCTTTAAATGTGCATGTGAGATGATTCACCCCAACCAACACCAAAAATACAACATAAATGACAAATCCGAGTGTCTACTCCCCCTTTTTACGTATGGAAACTCAGATTCTAAGGACTTAGGTTACACTAATTTTGCCCAAAACATGGAATCATCGAATCACAATCCATTGATTACTTAATAGTTTTATAGTTTTTCCAGGTTTGACAAACAAAAAATAAATATAAACATATGTAGCAGGTCATTACACTTATGGGGAGTCAAGGTTTTCAAACTTAAAACGTGGAGTGTATCTGTGATTCACAATGTCGGTCTGTGCACTATAAAATAACATGTCATCTGCGATAACAACATATCATTGTTCAACAGATATAAGAAAGAAGGATGTTACACTAGAAAGAGAGGTGAGCATTATACTCCTTTAAATGCAATTTGGATTATGATGTATAGAAAATTAGCTATGCTTTATGAGTAACTCCAGTTATGTTATTATTGCATAACTATAATGAAGTACATGTTATATGTATATATAGCCTAAAATAATTTCAATATCTGCGTGTGTGCTTTACTTTATTAATGGGTCTGTATATATAGAATATCAAATAAATAAGTTTAAATGACAACTTTTTAAGTAGACGAGTTGATATTAAATATCAACACGAGTGAGCAAAGTGAACGAGTGTGGTATTAGGTATCTATGAGGCGATAAAATATTTTTCCGAGAAATGGCAATCAAAAAAATTCAAATTCGTTTAGTTACTATCATACGGATATGCGACTGATAAATTATATCGGCCGAGATATGGGGCTGATAAACGAATTTCTGAAAAATATCACACGGATCTCCAGAATATTATTGCGATTATTACGAGGTGTTTAGTACATACTGTATAATCGTTGGATGAATAGAAAGACACCATTGGTAAACGACACCATTTAAAGATCACATGAAATGACAAACATTCTCTCACTCATGTAAAACATTACTCAGCACGTGACTTCATAATGCAAACTCATAATAAGAAATATATAAATGTACTTTATGATCGCAAAGTCCAATTATCTGTGAACTTTTGTTTACAATTAATGGACTTTGTGTGGGCCTGTCAATCTCTATCGATTCAATTGATAAATAAACAGTTCTTGTTAAATCTTTCATTTTCCAATCTTTGAGTCTAAAAACAAATGATTGAAAAAAATCTGCTATTTTGGTTCTTTTTATAATACCGCGAAACAGACTCTTGAGACCTTACTCACGTCGAGAGCTACCATGCTAGATTTTGAAAGTATAGCTCTCCATCGTGAGGATCTCCCAGCTGAAGAATTGTGACATCTAAATTTGATCAGCGCCAGTCAGCGGCTTGCTGTTTGTCTCAAACGGTAGCCTACATATGGGCTCATATGTTTCTACTTTCCCCGTGCATGTAGGATCGCGGATGTGCTTCTATGGCGATCAGGAGTTCTAATCGTTTTTTGTTCGATACCCATTTCCAATATGGCGGTTAAACGGAAATACTATCGACGCATGCGCAACTTGGGAAACGTCAAGCCGCCATATTGAATATACCTGGCCAAAACTTTTGACACGACCAATAAAATGAAGTCCTGATCGATACATAGGGCAGTGAGACGTTCTATAGTTGAGCTGAATGAAAGATGGCGATGTAGGATACATTTTCAGGTATATAATGTGCAACATGAGTCAGCTGAATTCCCTGAAATTTTCTTTGAAGTCAGGATTCTTAAGCTGTTGATTCTAGCGATAGAGAGCTATACTTTCAAAATCTAAGTAGCTCTCGACTATTGTTACTTGATGATTATTAGGTAATCACTTTTTATTTATTTTCTAGATTCCGTGTGATAAGCGATCCATTTTCCACGCATAGCAATAATGGCAGATGCAAGCGAACTAGTGGAACACAATCTAACATATTTGAAACAACAGCAAGCAGAAAAGTTGCAGCTCAGTAACTACATAGCGAAGATTTTTGAGACAATCGACGGTAGTGCAAAGTGTATATCAAATAAAGACCAGCTTATATACGCATTGAATTCGTCCGATGATCAATTGAAATCAGCATTAGACAATGCGATTTACGTCCACGATGGCCTAACCCTAAATATAGACGACGTATCAAAGATTCCCGATACGCCACCGAACCGTTCGCCCAAGCTTCAGCGTTGGATAGAGAAGGACACTTTACAAGAAAGACTTAACGCTGGTTACAATAATGTCATTAAGGCAACCAAAGAGAGGGCAAGGTATTACTCCGAAAAACTGAATGTATCACCATCGGCCCTTGCAAATGGTGATAATCTCGGAACAGAATCAACAATTGACGTTCATTTACAGAGTAAATTGTTGTCTTTATATACCGTTGTATTGCCAACGCCCGTTCTCAAAACGCTATCTGCGAATTGTCTTCCAATAGCGAATGCTTTTGTGAAGTCCGAGACCGAGGAAACGAACATGATTTGGGAATTGTCGCATCAAAAACTGAGAAAATGTCTGCAAAGTGGTTCGAAAACAACCCTTTTAAATCTCCAAGATAAAAACATGGCACTGGCTCTGCAATGCTCCAAATGGCCACAGTTTCTAGATGAATGGTTACTACGGAAACGGTATCATAAATGGCCGAATGCTAACACCATCATAACAGTCAAACGCTCCGGCTTCTTGCTTGTCCCAACAAACCAGCTTAACACTGAGACACAATGGCAACTGGATTTCACAGTCCCTGAGAAGTATTTAATGACTACCTTATCGAGCACCCAGATGCAATGCCTGTTGATGTTACATCAACTGATAGCCAAGTTTGGTCTAGCTGAAGACATCCCCTCGAAAGTTGTCGTCCACGCCGTGTTCTGGATGGCTGAACAGATCCCTGCTACAGCCTGGCCAGAGAATGATCAACAAATGTCCAGATTTGTGTATTGTATGAATAAACTGTTGGACTTTTTGGAAGAAAAGTATCTCAAGGACAGTCACATGCCGAACTATTTTGCGCCTCAGTTAAACACGATGCGTGCGCCATCTTTCAAACATGATATGGAAAGTGAAATAAAAGAAGGTGACACTTCAGCTAAAGACGAAAGCATGACGTTGAAGTTCAAAAGAGCGAGTAAGGACATCAGATCGGGAGAATGCTTCACTGTTTACAAGACTTCTTCTCGATTATCAGATTATACGGAGAGCCTTTCATCGACATCGAGTATTCTCTTTGACAATACCGTCAAGGACACGTTCGTTGATTTGAATCGTCTGCTGACCGTAGATGATGACATCAGCCAGACTATAGTGACTTACCACAATGTTATTAGTAGACTTTCAAAAGCATATGGCTCGGACTTGTTTATGTCTATACTGTATGACAAGCTTGGATTATTGTATCTCTCAAGGTCTCGCGCGTCCACAATCGAATGCGACGCCCAGTCATCTGCCCAATTGGCCAAAGCCTACACAAAACAGGGTAATACATTTGGGTTGTCTATGCATAAGATATGCCAAGCAAACCTGCACTACATCAGCAAAGAATATGGAGAGGTTATTAACACATTGAAGGAATTGGTAAACAACCCATCCAAGTTTGTAAATGATCTCGGTGCTTCGAACGACCCCTTTTTGAAATGTCTAATGAGGAGCAATTTTGGGAAATCCCTCGCGTTATCTGAATTAGAACTCAAAGCATTTGATTCTTCCATTGTTGAGCCGTTTGTGTCAAAGTGTTCAGATAAAGGTGTATTGTTTCTGCCTTGTCATGCAATCGCGTGTTCACTCTTCATAAACAGTGCTATAAAACTGGGTCGAATCTCCTTAGCTAAGGACTGTCTTCAAAAGTTTGTGTCCTATTGTTATCGAGACAGTTCTGGAAGTCCTATTGAAGCCAGTATATTGTTGAGAAAACAAAGAGTCACACATAAGCTCCTTGGTGTCTTTGGTCGGGCACCAGTAAAGCCAAAACGCATGGTCGCGTTTGAGCTAAGCACTCATGAGCAGAGTGCAACTAAAGGTGCTGAATTACATGCTTTAGGTTCATGTGCCCTAATGCTTAAAGATCACACAACTGCTACTTTAGCCTTTGACCTGGCCATTATCCATGATCCGACATCTGCAGACTTGCTTCCATGCATTCTTGCGAATGATGTTGTCCCGTTCGATAGCTATTCCTTCATCGAATGTCTCTTTTTCTTGTTCATTCAAGCCCCGCTGAAATGTGCCCTGTTCCTCTTTAGTGTTTTGTCACATCCATTCGACTCCATCATTAGCCTTTACAACGTCTGCTTGCTAAACACCCTCATAATAATTGATGATGCAATACCAATCGGTGGTTACGCAACAGGGGCTGGTTTGAGTGCAGTGACTTTCATTGGGCGTATGCAAAATGCTGTGTTGACCCTTTGTGATGAATCATTGAAAGGGTTTGTGTTTATCTCACTCATATCTGCACAGGGTTGCATGAATATTATTAGATTCGGTTTGGATACATCCCATTTGTCTTTGATATGGATTAAATCGAAATTATTAAGCCTTGTCAAGAAATCTTTAGTTTTGCAAACTATCAGTGTGAGATCGTTGACTAATCCTGTTACATTCCTTCTTGCATGTCGACTTGGTGTCATTGGATTGTTAACGTACATTAAACATTGTTGTAACTCAGTTGTTGAACGTTTCTTATCATTGAAACAAAATGCGATAAACAAGGTGAATTCATCAAAGAACCACGCTTCGGATATATGGACACTTGCCGTAACCTATTTTGATTTTCAACAGAAGCTTTTCCAAACTGGCCTGAAAGGATTCAATGCTCTGACGCCCTTGTTTCAAAGTGAAAACGCAATGATTTCATCTAAGTAACCAACTGCTCAATCTGTTATCTGGAATGGTAGTACCTTTTTTATACATTCTATATTTATGTAAATATTTTAATTTAGGAGGAAAACCAGTATATTCTACTGAATATGACATTCATTTATATTTGCTAGTGGGACTTCTCTATTGATAGGTCAATTTGAGATTAGCTTTTGAATATATTTAGCTATGGATCTACAAAATGAATGCATCACGTGAATTTGAAGAACAAATACGATTGTGAGATCCACAGCCTGTACTTTTCCTCTAATAAGGGAAACAAGGACTCTTAAAAATCAGGATGACAAAACACTATATAATTATTCTTATACAAAACATATTAGATGTGGAATTTAGAAAATACTCTTACTTGGTGGTAAATGTGTATGGACCATTTTTACCAAAGCAATGAAATAAATTTAGTATTTCCAAAAATTGTTGTTTTGTCTGATGTATCACTCACATCCAAAACTATAATCTCACATTAAGAACCTATTCTACTTCTTATCTATAACATTCAATCATTTCTGGTGGAGATGACAGAGTAGACACAACAGGGATGGTTATAGATTCAAAACAATGTTTCGACTTCATATTTAGCCATTTGACATTTCATTATCCAAGCTACAAATGACATTTAAGAAAATTTGTAGTTTTTATGCTTATGGTAAATAAATGTAATGTATAAACAATTAAACATGATATTTTGTGCTTTTTGTTCGGGTGCCCTTTGCTTGATTAATAGAATTACATCATATCATGGGCTTTCAACTCTTCATATCAAGGGAATTACCACATACAGAAAGTCATCCGTATTTCGACGACGAAATCTGAATGGCTCTATGAGTTCAGAGATAAAACTGAAAGATTGAAGACGAACCTTTCTTTTAAGAAGCAAAGTCGAACAAATGCAACGGGTAGTGCATCACAAATTTAATATCTGACCAAAATTGCTATTAAAAAAATTCCCGTAAATGGTCACTTATGTAAGATCCTAACATGCTTTTCAGAATATGTCCAATACTTGATAGTACAACCCCATGTGCATGATATGCACAAACAAAATGGAAAATCTTTATGTTTTTTAACTTCCTGTGACTCTTCAATCTTGACGTGGAAGTTGTAATTTCAATTCAGTTTACTGACAAGTTACATAGTCGGTAGATGGTGAATGGCCCTTTTTACCATAAAAAGTTACTGGCATCATTACCGGTATATCATTAATGGATTGCATGTTTTATCAGCTATCCTTTAATATAAATGTAAACAAACGTACCTTTAAAAAGCCATGTCTTATGAAGACACCGTTGCTATGCGTTATATTGAAATTTCAACGGTTAGAATATGTCATTAAATGAGCATGATGACATTTTATGAAAAGAAATAAGTTACACAGTAGATTAATAAATAAAAGGACCAGACCCTTCTTTATGGGAAATAACATTACAAAGTACATTACCGAGGAAGTATACATATATCTATTATATTATGAGATCAAAGATTAGTCCAATGGAATGTAAACTTATTGTACTACCATTAAGTAGAGAATATGATATTCAAATTAAGAGGATACAAACTACCTGTATATGCATGGGAATAAAGGTTAGCTGCAGCTATACCAACACGATGTTAAAAATGGAATCAATTAGAAAAACAAAATTTTACACAATATACTTATTGTATTGAAATGACCTACAATCCTTATGGATAAAAGGGACTGATATTCCAAAGTGATCAGACAATCGCTGCAATCATCCTACATGTTCCATTACTGTATATGAAGGGCAAATTGTTTCAAATGAACTCAAAACTCAATTAACAATAAGCTGCGATTGTTTACTAGATAAAATAATTGATTTTTCTAAACAAATACTGCAACTTGAATTTCAAATTCAAATTGAATTTGTATGAAATGTAAATAGGACAAATTATAATTTATTCAGAGATGGAATAACAAATAAAACGGATTAGCGGATTTTAAAACTGATTAAGACATGAAATTTTTCCTGCTTGTGTTTTGTGTTTCTTTTAACTGGAGATACACCCAAGGTGAGAACGAATATTTTGTTTTAAATTGCCAGACAACACATATTACAATCCTCATTTGTAAGATCAACATTTGGGATGTTTGGGATTTGTTATGACCTTTAAATATTTATTTTCTGTCTGTTTTGGACCTTTCCTTCTAATATGGCAATGACATATTTGGTCGTTTCGGTCTTGAAGGAGATGCATTTTAAATGAGATCTTGATGTAAAAAACAATTCTTCTTGTATTCCTTGATCTATTTTAGGTGTCCAAGGTTACTCAAAATTTGCATACGCCTGTGTCGGTAAAGAAGTAAAGATAGAATGCGATCCTGGCGAAGTAATACGCATCCTCCAAGCCTTTTATGGACAAAGTGTGAATGGTGAAAGGTATTGTGCGTATGACCCACGTGACCCATGTACTGAAAACACATTGGATGTTGACCTGAAGTGTACTGGAAAAGAGGAGACTTGTATCTATGACACAGGCAGTACCACTCACCGACAATGTGGTGGAGTCGCCAACTATATTGCCGTTGATTTCGAGTGTATGTCTAGTAAGTCTGTAATCCTCTGATAGTATTTACAAACATGCAGTGCTATGTTCATAATCTACATGCATTTAACTGCTTATTATGCACTTTAACTATGGAATTCCTAATATGTATGTATTAGATATAGTACAGGGTGAGCCAAAAGGTAACCCAAACACATGCATGTTAATAACTATATTGTACAATGCTTTGTTCAATGCTATTTTTAATGTTGGGAGTTAAAGCCATTCCAGTCTTGACTCAATACTCGTTTTTTAAAGAAAGAAGATTGGTTTGATGTTTTGGTTGGTAAGTTGACTTTATTCATGTAGAGCAAAACTAGCAGGAAATCCATGGATTGTACCTCGATCCATCATCCATGAACCCCATCTTGTCGTTCTTCCAGAGGATCAGATGATTAATATCTGCAGCTCTACGGAGGTTGAAGACAGAACAGGCTACATAGTCAGCCCAGGCTTCCCTGATCTACTGGGCGAAAGCAGTGTTCAATGTAAATGTACCATTTCCTCCCTCGTGCCTGATAGGAAGATTGAAATATCAGAAATATTCGCTACTTTCAGGTACGTCGTCCAAAACTGCATGGAAAGGCTGTTTTAAGTTGCCTTTAAGTACGGACACGATTTAGGATTTTTTGAGAGATAAATAAACTACTAAAACAAACGCATATGAATAGCCAACGCCGTCACTTTGTGCTTTTGATCGACATCTAATTCCAACTCACATCAACCTGTCATCGGTCATCTTGAAATGTACAAACTGAAAAATAACTTTAATAAATTGAACTGAGAAAAGAAACAACTGAACTTCTGGTTTGATTCATAAATCAGGTACGCTCCTTCGAGAGATTGCACTACATGGTCAGATGCCATAGAAGTGACAGATGGTACACAGAGCACACGATTTTGCAAGGCCGGAAGTGGGCAGCTCATCTCCACACTTGAGTCAACTAATATTACACTCCTACATAAAACTGGAACTGGTGGTGCGCTATGGTTGCATTATGAATGTAAGTAATTTTTTCTTTTTTTATCAATTTATTTCTGATTTTACAGACATATCAATAGTAAGTGTTGTATCCTTCTGGAAAGAAACAGAAACATGTCTGTGATCGTTCGCGATGGTTATGTGCACCCAGACAGTTAGCCTAATTACCTTGAACTGAAAGCTATGTGATGGTTTTAAATTGGAGTCAAATTGGACATTTAAAGTCATAAATTATTGTTTTTATATTGTATGGTTTTGGGGTGTTAGAATTTCCCCTCGTATTTTTTATTCCAGCGCCGACTCAAGATGGAAGACTCTTGGTACGTTGTGGTGCAAAGGCAGAAGAGCCCATCAAAATCACGTCCACAACTACAACAATAACACCTGAAACCCAAACTACATCAACAACACAAACGACAACAGTAACCGAGGCCTCAACAACGGTCACTCCAACAACACAAAATGCAACAACACAAAGTAAGGAAGTCAGTTCAGAAATCACAACAATAAACACAACCATTCTTGATGTAAATGAAACAGGGTCACAAACTAACACTACACCTACAAGTACAACAAGTGGTCAAGTTGATGATTTGGTAACTGCAAATGAAACGGTCGCTTCAACAGTAGCCTCTAATTCAACAACTGGGCAGCCAGAGGATGGGAATACAACAACTCCTACTGTAACTATGGTTTCGCAATATGGTGTAACAGGTGAGTAAAAATATCCTCAAAAATATAGAAAATAACATGAACTGTGCATTTATGTCCTCACCGTATATAACAGTATATGGAAACCTATGTAGTCAACCCTTTGGATCTAAAATCAAAATAAATGGTATTTTCTCATGTTATACTTCTCGCATCTTTCTGTTGATCAACTAGTAATATAACATACTAGGAAGGAACTAAAAGAGGGCCATGTTGGTTCTCATACTGGTGCTTACTGGTTCTTTGATTTGTTATCGACCTAGATCAGTCAAACTCAATGAAAAGGATTTAACACTGTGACATAATATAATATAATATAATATAATATAATATAACGTATACTGGATTTAATCAAAACTTATTTTAAACTGATGGCATTTAGCTTAAATGATAACAGGACTAAAGTGGTATGAGTAAACTAGTGAATTATTCAATCCCATATATTTAATGAATCTCACAAAATATTGACTATCATAATAAAAGCCCATCAACAAAGAGTATTATGGCTTTAACATGTATTTATGGAAAACGAACATTTTGCTTATGATAAATCCAAATGCACAAATTGCCGCCATATTTCCATCGGTGTACTGTTGATTCATCTGCACACTTGGCCTAACAATCAATAGCTATATTACTGGTATTGATTTGTGAATGTCATCCTATTTGGCAACAGCTTGCCAAATGTGTTCGCTGTTTATACATGAATGTTCGTATACATGTCATTGAAAGAGTGATATATTTGTAACAACTCTTATATTGTATATGATTAGGTGCTAAAATTCTCATATACAATTAAAAATTCAGAGTCAGCTTTTCTTTATGGTGGAATATTTATATTTCCTTGAATAATGTAGACATGCTGAACCAAAATGTCCCACTCTCTAATACTGCACCATAGTGCCCCACCCCCTACTGGTACCGTAGTGTCCCTCCCCAAAATGCTGTACCATAGTGCCACACCCCCTACCGGTGTACCATAGTGTCCCTCCCCAAAATGCTGTACCATAGTGCCCCACCCCCTACTGGTACCGTAGTGTCCCTCCCCAAAATGCTGTACCATAGTGCCCCACCCCCTACTGGTGTACCATAGTGTCCCTCCCCAAAAATGCTGTACCATAGTGCCCCACCCCCTACTGGTACCGTAGTGTCCCTCCCCCAAACTCTGTGCCATATTGCCCCACCCCTTGCTGCTGTACCATAGTGTCCCTCCCCAAAAATGCTGTACCATAGTGCCCCACCCCCTACTGGTACCGTAGTGTCCCTCCCCCAAACTCTGTGCCATATTGCCCCACCCCTTGCTGCTGTACCATAGTGTCCCTCCCCAAAATGCTGTACCATAGTGCCCCACCCCCTACTGGTACCGTAGTGTCCCTCCCCAAAAATGCTGTACCATAGTGTCCCACCCCCTACTGGTACCGTAGTGTCCCTTCCCCAAACTCTGTGCCATATTGCCCCACCCCTTGCTGCTGTACCATAGTGTCCCTCCCCAAAAATGCTGTACCATAGTGCCCCACCCCCTACTGGTACCGTAGTGTCCCTCCCCCAAACTCTGTGCCATATTGCCCCACCCCTTGCTGCTGTACCATAGTGTCCCTCCCCAAAATGCTGTACCATAGTGCCCCACCCCCTACTGGTGTACCATAGTGTCCCTCCCCAAAATGATGTACCATCGTGCCCTACCCCCCACTGGTGTACCATAGTGTCCCTCCCCAAAAATGCTGTACCATAGTGCCCAACCCCCTACTGGTACCGTAGTGTCCCTTCCCCAAACTCTGTGCCATATTGCCCCACCCCTTGCTGCTGTACCATAGTGTCCCTCCCCAAAAATGCTGTACCATAGTGCCCCACCCCCTACTGGTACCGTAGTGTCCCTCCCCCAAACTCTGTGCCATATTGCCCCACCCCTTGCTGCTGTACCATAGTGTCCCTCCCCAAAATGCTGTACCATAGTGCCCCACCCCCTACTGGTGTACCATAGTGTCCCTCCCCAAAATGATGTACCATCGTGCCCTACCCCCCACTGGTGTACCATAGTGTCCCTCCCCAAAAATGCTGTACCATAGTGCCCCACCCCCTACTGGTACCGTAGTGTCCCTTCCCCAAACTCTGTGCCATATTGCCCCACCCCTTGCTGCTGTACCATAGTGTCCCTCCCCAAAAATTCTGTACCATAGTGCCCCAACCCCTACTGGTGTACCAAAGTGTCCCTCCCCAAAACTCTGTGCCATATTGCCCCACCCCTTGCTGCTGTACCATAGTGTCCCTCCCCAAAAATGCTGTACCATAGTGCCCCACCCCCTACTGGTACCGTAGTGTCCCTTCCCCAAACTCTGTGCCATATTGCCCCACCCCTTGCTGCTGTACCATAGTGTCCCTCCCCAAAAATGCTGTACCATAGTGCCCCACCCCCTACTGGTACCGTAGTGTCCCTCCCCAAAATGCTGTACCATAGTGCCCCACCCCCTACCGGTGTACAATAGTGTCCCTCCCCAAAAATGCTGTACCATAGTGCCCCACCCCTTGCTGCTGTACCATAGTTTCCCTCCTCCTATTGCTGTAACACAGTATCCCTTCCCCTAATGCTACACCCTTGACCCTTGCCCCTTCAAAAAAGGTAAGGATGGGGTATCTTGAGTTCTTATTGATAATGCCATATTCAAACAGTGCTTGGTGGTATTACTTGATTGAATCCTCTGTTTCAGCTGCAGTGGTTGGCGCTATCGTTGGCTGTTTGATCGTTGTCTTCCTCATAATCATTGCACTCATTGTGGTTTATTTCAAGAGGTAAGTGTAGAATAAATTCATAAAAAAACATTATATTGAAACACGTCAAGATTAACATTTTTTTATATTATCATTCTTACATTTCAATGAGTTGTGTATAGTGTAAATCCAAAGGTACTAAATATAAAAAAGTACCACTTAGCATAACATTTTCTCCTATTTCTATATTCTACCAGTCTAACATTTAATATTTCAATATAACCCATAATTCTGTTCACCAAAATTATTCAACTCAGTTTCACATACATAATATGTATCTTATTAACGCTGTAAATATGTAACATTGATTTTAATAAAAAAAAATAAATAGAGACATTATCTTATATTGTCTTATGCAATTCAGTATCTATCATTATCATTATCTTCTTTGTACTTCACTAATTCTATACCATTTGCTTACAGGGTAAATAGCAAGGACTTTGCTTGAGGTATGAGGCACTAACCTTTCCTGAATAAAAGTCACTAGCTGTCACATGCAAAAAATTGAGAAAACACCTAACACTGAACATGTAGATTGCATGAACTTTATTGAAACAACTAACATTAGACTAAATAAAATAGGAATCTCGTAATTTCAAATTATAGTGCGCGCTTTTACTAACACGAAGAACACAAGTAGTGACATCTTTATGTATATCCTGTTATGAACTGCATACTATTTTTGAACAATCTTCATGTAGAAGTACATGTAGACTGTAGAAATGATATCACGACACTGTAATATTGGAGTCATTAGCTAAAACTGTTGACCGCTTATATATTGACCGATCAAACTCGAGTATTTTGACTGAGATACTAACAGTAACAATACATATTAAGATAACAACTACCATATTTATTTAGATGAAATGTAAAATCTTGTCATTCTCCTCCACTCGTTTCTAATAACAAATATGTATAAACTTTAAAAATACAAAATAATAATAATAAACCTTATTATATTACATTTAATTATATTATATTTTATTATATCATACTGTATTATATTACATATTCAAGTAAAAGAACATAAATTGAAGAAAACAAACACACAATTTAACATTTATATTCAACTAAAAAATAGCATTTGAAATTATATCCATGCCATACAATTAACATGCTCTATATTTACGTACTATACATTATCATGATAACACCAGTACTGTCTTATTTTATGGAGCAGGAGAAAGAAAAAAGGTCGGAGTTTTCTGCTTGGTCAATTTCCACAGACTGGAATACACCTAAAGAAACAATCTTCTGGTACGTCGTTCTTAAATACCAATGATATAACGGAAAACGACTGCGCAATGGATTTAAAAACAACAAATAGTGATATCATAGATGTTGGCACAAATAACCGTTCAGCTAGAAGAAGTAGTATTGCTGATAGAGTACCCACACCTTGGGTAAAGCGTCGACTCTCGGGCTGTGACATGCCTTCTTCAGGGATAGCCGTCATTTCCCCACTGGCTACAACAGACCATGGGCTCTACCGAACAGACCAATATGGGTCTTCAACAGAACCAAATATTGAGAATGAATCAATAGTTACAACTGATATAAAAGTGGCAAAAGAAAAAAGTGATGAGGGATCTTTTGCAGTACTTTCCTCCCTTGAAGTAACACACACTATTGGAGACGTTAACAATGAAGTTGCCTTGAAAATCAATACCAAAACAACACATGACATGAACAATGATCCAATAATTTATGACGATATAGATGGAGAATTAGTCGGAACTATATCAACACAGGATATGCTGGCATCGACATGGATAAATCTCAAGTTCACGAAAAACAACCTCTTCGAATTCATCCGATATCGATTATGAAGCACAAATCATCGGAGCAATTAGTGAATGGAAACCAATTCTCACCCAAATGTCTCTCTTGTCCAAAACGTGTTCAGTTTTTATTACCACGTGACAGTGATGATATCGATGCCAGAAAGGATGACTCCGATGATAAGAATAACCATGAACGTATATCAAATGAAGACAAAACTAAGAAAAAAAATCCAATTTTTAAGATCTTTAATTGACAATCATCGAGGGTTAATGGACAAACTTCATAAGTGTAAAGAATGGACATTTACCCCCCTATTACACCAAACTAGTTCTTACCCGTTCTTGCCAGTTCTACGAAAATGTCGTAAAACGGGCTCAATCTGACTGTGGTCGGGAAATATGTCTAAAATAATTAGCTACTTCGTTCATAAACAGTCTTCAATCCGTCCATCTCATTCGCAGTTCGTTCAGGTCGCACCACGTCGGTGTGCAACGTCGTATAACGCGTCCCTTAGTCTAGAAGGTCATCATGACCTGATTATAGAACGGTATGGTCGTCATCGAATTTTTAATCATATCAAAATTCTAAAATCACCTTCTCGTCTGAGAAAGTTCATGAAGTTCGCAAATAGACATTAGAAAGTTGCAGCTACGTTCATTCCGTTCGCACACAGTTTAAAGCCCCCCTCACATATGAACGAAAACCCCTTTACGTCAACTTGCGTATAGTGGCGAATAGGAAATTAGTCAAATTCGTTCTCATTAGTACGAGTTCGTGACAGTACGTCGCAGTGTTCGTATAGATGCGTTTGTCAGCGTTTACCTCGGTTGAAATTAGTCTTTTTCGTCGGAAAATTTTGAACATGTTCAAAAAATTGCAGCGAATAAAAGTTTCGTGTGTCATTCGTTGAAATTCGTTTCATTGCGTTAACGATCGGTTAACCTTCGCATTGGCTTCGTCAAGTGACGTTACAGGTCGCTGGGGATAAGGTCGTATCCCCATAATTTGCATATCAAGCGACCGACGACGATCCCATTACGAACCATTACGAACCATTGCGGCAGTTTGCAACCTTGTACGCAGTGGAACGAATACTTACGAATTGGATCTACGTTAAGCTGAATAATTGAGAGAATACCAAATTAAATCAAATAATTCTTTTGTCATGGAAGACACAGATCGACTGAGGCTGCAGTATGTGGCTGCTATGGCCCAGCAAGAAGTTTTAACGCAGCAACTTAACATTCATGAGGCCGTTTTAGGCGGAGAAGGGGAGCCAGAGGACGTGGCATCTGGAGGAGACAATGGTTGAATCCAGAGAGACGGCGCCAATTCGGCATATATGATCAGCTCATGGTGGAGCTGAGAAGAGAGGACCCCAGAACATTCAAAAAGTTCCTCTGTATGCCAACAGAAATGTATGACGAAATCTTTGAGAGGGTCCGTCCTCGGCTATGGAAACAACATAGCTGGTACAGAGAGCCTTTAGGTCCAGGCCTCAAACTAGCTGCCACTATTCGCCACCTGGTTTCTGGTGCCAAGTACTCTGACATGCAGCACTCCTGGCGGGTTGCTGAGAATACCCTCTCTGTAGTGGTAAGATAAGTCTGTCAAGCTATATGTGACGAATATGTTGATGAGGTCATGACAGCCCCCTCCACACCTGAAGAATGGAAACAATTGGCTGATGGTTTCCTCGAGAAGTGGAACTTTCCGAATTGCGTTGCTGCAATTGATGGCAAACACATAGCCATCAGAAAGCCTAATAGCTCTGGTTCCTTATATTATAATTATAAGGGTTTCTACAGCATCATCTTACTGGGAATTGTCGACTCAGACTACAAGTTCGTGTGGTGTGATCTGGGTGGTGAGTAAACTCTACATACGTTACTGCATTAATTTTGTAATTATATAGATTTAATACAATTATAGCTATATTTGCAATGTATACTGACAATATTTTATCCTCTTACTCTTGTATAATTTCAGGATATGGTTCAAGTGGAGATGCCAGGATCTATAATGCATCGGAATTCTTGGAGATGGTGCAGGATGGTTCGATCGCATTTCCACAGCAACAGCCATTTCCCAACGACACCGTTGATATGCCTTTTTTCTTGGTAGGGGATGACGCATTCAGCCTCAGTGATCACATGCAGAAGCCCTATGGACATAGAACCCTCACTAGAGAGGAAAGAATTCTAAACTACCGGTTATCGAGGGCTAGGAGGGTTTCAGAAAACGCCTTTGGAATTTTGGCCAACCGATTCCAGGTACATTGTAATTTATGATATTTGTCGGCGAAACAAACAGTTAAACTCCAAGTTCCTGGGACTATCTAGATACGTGTATTCGACTTCGAGTAAATGAGACTTCATTCGAACTTCCGCTAATTGAGACATGAAAATAGTATGTTTTGTTTGATAAATAATTTGAAAGATGCGCATAAATTGGAACCAACTGAGTTCCACATTCGACCTATGACAGTTTAACTATTAATCCGTATTTTCAAATTAATTCAATTTAACGCATAATAACATTTCAGGTACTCCTCTCAACGATGAACCATAAGCCATCCACAGCGAGGCTGATAGTCAAGACATGCTGCATTCTCCACAACTTGATGAGAATGAGGTACCCTACAATGCAAAATGCACTGATTGACCAAGAGGACAGAAGAGGCGACATGGTTCCTGGGGAATGGAGGAGAGATCGCAACTTGGAAGATGTCAGGCCTGTCAATATCAGAGGCCACAACACAGCAAACAAAAAGGGGAAGATTGTGAGAAATACTCTGAAGCACTGGGTCAACTCTCCAGCAGGAAGTGTACCATGGCAAGACAGGATCGTGCCAAATGAAAGGTTGGACTTTGAGAAATAATCTAAAGCACTGTGTCAACTTGAAATTAAGTGTAATTTGCCTGACATAAATTGTAAAAACTAGTTTAAACGTATTTTTGTTTTACGAGTCTAATAATAAGAAATGTATTGATATAATATCAAAGGGAAAATACCAAACATGATCAGAAAACACAAGAGAAACAAAATCTTTAAGCGAATATTGTCATTAAAAACAAACCCCAACTATCCCAAATGAAATTCAAGCGTCAAAAGAAACAGTGTCCAACACCCCTCCCCTTCCATTCTAATATCAAATATAACGACCCAAAACCATAAAACATAGGGATATTTCATTCAAACTGAAGTAATTACAATAATTGCTTGGCATGGTAACCAATTGTACGTGTTAATAACATTCCCAATGTATGATCACTGTATGAATTTCAAATCTGTGTTGACTACGACCTCTTAATTAAGGTAGACTATGTTAGAAATTGACCCTTACACTTTTCGCAAAGGTTCCTTTAGATTCGGAAGCATGCGCACAATTGCGCTTTGGTTGCATGTATGCGTTGTTAATCGCTGACGGGAATCGCTGACGCCTCCTGCTTTTTGTAAGGTTTTGTTCAGATTCGGAAGAATGCGCATAATTACGCTTTATTTCGCATGTATGCGTTATTACTCGCTGAAGGGGATGTCAAAGGTTGTTTGCGAGACGCAACGCATCTTAGCGAAGAAAAGTAGTAATTCGTCACACTTCGTAAAACATTCGCAACAAATAGTTACCTTACATTACTATTCGTTATGTTTTCTATTATGTAACATATTTTTAAACATTTTCGCTCAATATTCGCCAGAAATGACTAATTTACCACATGCGTCAGGCTGCGTTTGGTGGATTCGTTCATATGTGAGGGGGCCTTTTAAAACCAGTTTTGAAGAACGCAGTGGCAACTTGTTTGGTGTGATAGCAATATTTTTGCCAACTCC